TTTAAATGAATGGCAGAAAGGTATCAATAAATTTATCTGGGCAGGGAAAAAACCAAGAGTAAAACTTAAAATTATACAAGATATTCGTGAGAGGGGTGGACTCAAGGTACCGAATTTGAAATTGTATTATGATGCTGTGGCTTTAACATTAATTAGTGATTAATTTAACAAATGTAGAAGTACTCCTCTTAGAGGGTTGGGATTTGCTTTTCGGATGGCATGCCTATTTAATTTTCAATAAAAAGATTGACAGGGTTTTTAAATCTCATATTATAAGGACTTCTTTACTTTGGGTTTGGAAGAAATATTATAGAAATGATTTTAAAATTCCATTATGGGCTATACCATGGCATGCGATAGAAGGGATAAGGAGAGGAGTCAAGATGGATAGTGTTTCTTATGCACAATTACTTAGATGGGATGGTAAAAATTGGCAATTAAAATCTCTGGAAGATTTAACACAAGAAAATATTATTTATTCATGGTTTCAGTATAGACAAATAGTAGAGAGGTGGAAGATAGATCGTAATTTGGGTTTGCTTAGAGAAGATGAGAATTTGTTAAAACAAATAAAAGATCAAAGACGAACTCATATTAAGAGAATCTATGGAGTGTTAGTAGAGTTGGATTCAGAAGCAAAATTAGTTAAAGAATGTATGGTTAAATGGGCACAAAATTTTGAGGAACCGGTTTTATTAGATACCTGGGAGATTATTTGGGTGAGGAATGTCAAATTTACACAAGCCCAAAATTTAAGGGAAAACTTTTATAAAATGTTTTACAGATGGCACCTTGATCCACAAAAAATGTCTCGTATGTATCCTGACTTGCAGCCTAAATGTTGGAGATGTGGATGTTTGGATGCTACTTATTACCATATCTGGTGATTATGTAAAAATATAAAAGCTTTTTGGATTAAAATATGGTGGAATATTCAAAGAATTTTCAGAAGAAGGATAAAATTTACCCCACAATTGTTTTTGTTAGGTATTGTTTCTGATTGTGACAGTAAAGAGATTATATTGATGTTAAATTTAATTACAGCGGCCAGGTTGTTAGTAGGGCAATGTTGGAAGAAGGAATCTTTGCCTACATTGCAAGAATGGTTTTTTAAAGTTTCTTATTTGGCGGAAATGGCAAAGATTTCGGCTTTTTTGAAAGATCAATCGCAGGAGAAGTATCTCCTGGTATGGAAAAGATGGATAGATTTCATACAATATAAGTTGGATATAAAAAAATATTACTTAGTTTTTGAATAATTTATAATTAAAGTTTAAGATATTTCTTAGATATTTTCCTTTCTTTTATTTTTTTATTATTATTTTTTCTTTTTCTGTTTTTTCTTTTCTTTCTTCTTGTATTTTTTTAATATATTGTTGTTAATTACTTTATAATTTGTTTAATTAACGTATTTAGATTTGTTTATGGTTTATAAGTGTTTCAAGATTCTTTTTAAAATTTTTTTTAATTAAGCCTGTATTCAGCTCTGGGAAGATTGGGGGAGGGTAGGGGAGGGGTGGGAGGGTGTAGGGGAGGGAAATCTTTTCTTTTTGTAAAACCTAAAAATTTTCAATAAAAAAAAAAGGATACCATGATCGATGGTATCAAAAGTCACTGAGAGGTCAAGTAGCACCAAGACAGAGGAATAACCCCTGTCTCGGGCCTGCCAGAGATCATCCATCAGCGCGACCAAAGCAGTTTCTGGGCTGAAGCCGGGCCTGAAGCCAGATTGAAAAGGGTCTAGGTAATCCGTTTCATCCAGAGACCGTCGGAGCTGGAGCGCCACCACTCTCTACAACCTTCCCCAAAAAGGGGAGATTGGAGACTGGACGGAAGTTATTTAAGTTAGCCGGGTCCAGGGTAGGCTTCTTGAGAAGGGGCCTCACAACCGCTTCCTTCAAAGATAACGGGAAAGACCCCTCCCTCAACAAAGCGTTGATCAACACCTGGAGCCAGCTTCGTGTCACCTCCTTGGCGGCCGAGACCAACCAGGAAGGGCACGGGTCCAATAAACAAGTGGAGGCGCTCATCGCTCCCACCGCTCTGTCAACATCCTCAGCGGTCACAGACTCAAATTCATCCCATAAAACTGGGCTAAGACCTGCCCCAGTCAGCTCAGAAGGCCCTGCCCAATCGGAGTCTAGGTCTGTCCGAATCTGAGCGATTTTATCTGATAGAGTGACATGGAAGGTGGAGGATCCCCTTAATCCAGAAATAATATTTAAGTCTCTTGCTTTTTTTATTGCAACTAGTGTCTATGCAGCTTCTTTCATTTACTAGCTTTTTCTACAGAGTTCTGACATTCAATAAGCTGATCTGTACTGTATAATAAAAATTTTGGAATTACTTTTAGGATTATAGAAGTATATTAGTTACTAATAGTGTCTTCTGATAATTTTACTAGGGAACCGAATGTTGAATGGGTCCACTATAGGATTTGGGACAGTTATTACTCCCCCTTTAGCTTTTATTAGATTTACTTATTAGATTTATTCTATAATTGATAAAAGGATAGTACTATAGAAGTGGAAATGTGTTCTCCTAAATTCTTTCTCAAAAGTAACTTTAGAGGGAAAAAAGGTCAGCTTTTTTAGTTGTTAAATTGACAGTAGTAAGACAAAAAGAGGTTAGAGCTAAGCCTTAAATTTTACCCTTTTCATATTTTAAAATATTGTACATAATGTTTTATTTTGGAGTTTCATATAGACCTGATAAAAGTGTACTCCTATGTAAGGTACATGGCATTTCTGACAGAGATGAGATATTGACTAAACTCAACTTGTACAGATGGTATTACTGTCTAAAACAGACATGTCAGACACAAGGCCCGTGGCCCGGATGCGGCCCACAACATGCTTTCATGTGGCCTGCGAAGCCATCCTGGACATAGTAAGGGAATGGCCCCCGCTGCCTTGGCCCTGGCCCAGGCTGCCCGGGAGCCAATGTACAATTTTGTGGTGGCCATCTATACTGAAACGCATTCAGTCTTAGCTCCACAAGGCTACCTGGAACAGCAAGGGATCGGCCCCTGCCATGTTGGCCCCGCCCCCTGAGTGCATGCTGGGGAGGTGTCATCCTTTGTGAGGAATGAAGAAATGCACCATCCCCTGGAAGTGGCCAGCAAATGGCCCTCACCTACTTCACATATCCGGCTTGGAGTTTCAGCAAGCTCTTCCAGTGGACCATGCCTTGGCGCTTGCCCTGGTCCCACCCCCTTCTGCCAGAGATCTTCAGATCTGTCCCACTCCTGCTCAGGCCCTCACAGGCATCCTTGACGTGAACGATGTAGAACTGGCCATGCCCACCCAGTAGGCCATGCCCACCCAGCAGGCCAAACCCACTCCAGCCATGCCCACCCAGTAGGCCACACCCACTCCAGCCACACCCACCCAGTAGGCTGCGCCTACCCTGGCCACACCTACCCGCCCCCCCCGAGGATAACCGCAATTCTGATGCGGCCCTCAATGAAATTGAGTTTGACACCCCTGGTCTAAAATGTTAGTTATCCTAAATTCTAGTTTTAGGATTTAAGGAGCCCTTGGTGAATCTTTTATTTGCAGAAAGCAAGGCATACAAACTAAAAATTCTTTCTTTGAGATTACATTTTAGTTTATTAAATATCCAGACAAAAGGAAAATGGTAGCAATATTAAAGCAGTTGTCTCTCATCTGGGAACAGTTTTAGTCATCTTGATATCACCCCCAAAATCTGTTTTGATTATTGTTAATGTTAAATTTGTAGATAGAAATCAGATGGTGCAGTTTTGTTTGTTCCTTGTAAATAATCCCAATATTTCCTGTTTCTTTTATAGTCTAAAGAATGGCATCATAGGCTAGAGAACAATAAAGGGAAATGAAATGATAGAAAGACAATGTAAGGAATATATAAACAGTATTAATTGTATATATAGTGCCCTTAATAGCATCACACTGTTGAGGTGCAATTCAGCCATTCTCATTTGTTTGAGACCTGAAAGTTGGAAGAGAGCAAAGATATTCAAATAAGATCCAGTTATGGATATAAATATATGGGTATATATAGAAAATGTAGCAAATTTGCATACACTTGAATAAGCAGCTATATGGGTAATAGATAAGCAGGTTCTGAACCCTGAACAAATGTAGATCAGTGAGACTCAGATGTAATAATAAAGTTTAATTGCATTTAGTTCCACTACTCCACAAAGCAATCTTGACTCAGCCATTCTCCTGGCCACTCTTTGCTAACTGTTAATGTCATTTTTCAGACAGGTAATACAATTGGCAAAGAAAATGATTGATTTTTGAAGATGCATGCTGTCCAGACCCTTGGTAGTACAGGATGTATAACTGAGCTTATTTTGCAGTTTTGTTTGTGGCTGTTTTGGTTAACCATAGTCTGAAGATGCAGCATGATAAGCTGGCCTCTATTAACAAAGAGAAAGGGAAAAGCAAAATTAGATTTTTAAGTCTTACAAGAGGATAAAAGCTTCCATGACTCATCCATGGAAACCTGAAGTTTTTCCAGAGCACATTTGGTATACAAAATACTTAAGTTTCTCTAATCTTTCTATGAATTCATGAGGTGACGAATCACTAACCTATTGACACCTGTTTAATGACATGAACAATCATATGTTTATAGAATTATGAATGGTACGAAAGGAATGGAGAGAGAAAGACATTTTTCTTTCCATCTTATATTTCATTATGCAGATTGTTGAAGTGTCAGATTGGCCACAGGGAATCAGATGTCCAGCAGTTTTAAAAAGACTATTTTTTCACCTGCTAAATTCATCTTGCCATTTTTCTTGATACATAATGTTGACATTTATTAATCATTGTCACAACTTTAATCTAATTTTTTCATGTCTGATTGATCACTTTTGCTAAATGTTAGAATTGGTTACTGAGGACATAGAGTTACAAGATTTCATTGAATATTCATTGAATATTCAAATAATATTAATATTATTTTTTCCTCCACCCCATCCTTCTCTGTTTCTTCATTTTTGTTGGTAGGGATCTCTTTGCACCAGACTACACTGAAACTCATTATACTAAAACTGGAACAGCCCAAACCATCTCCTTGAACAAAACAGTGAGTATCAAATGTAATTTGATGAGACAAATCCATTTGAACACAACCCTGGTTCCAACTTTGATAGGCTTTACACAGAACAAGTCTTGACTGCACCCTGAAAAAAATGATTTGGAGGCACAAAAAATTTGGGGAAAAATTATCAGGCGAGCAGTTTCAAATATACTCTGATTCAAGGCTGGGGAAATAAATAAAGAAACATTCACTGGTCTTTTTGCTTTTTTCCAGATGAGTTCATTGCTAAGTGTAATGATGTAATATGGAAGTAGTGGTTGAATAAGTATCTGATGGGGATTTGTGATAGTGGCTGCTACAGTTTTCATAACTGCAGCAGTCTCTAGTCAGTTCATTTCTTTACCGAGTAATCTTTCTGTGAGTAAATACAGTATAATAAGCCACTGTATTTTATTTTTCACTGCCCGGAGTCATTTTGGAGTAGTATAACATCGAAACTTCAACAATAAATAAATACAATTCAGATGAGGCAGAATACTTAAAACAGCCAAAATAGAAATAAGTTCTATTCCTTTTCCAAACTGTAATTTTATTTTAAAAAGCAAAACTCTTGCAATCTACTACATCCCACATTAGCAATTTAACAGATATTGTTTCACAGAATTCACTGAAATGTTGAGTGTAATTGTGCAATGATGAAGAGCACCACAGAGCACTGCTGTTACAACTGCAGTGATCCATAACTATGTAGAATTAGCTTGCAATTTGGGTGTGGCCCTTGAAATTCCATACAAAATTGGCAATGAACTACATTGGTGTCTCTAGTGCAGTGCTGTCTTGCAATGATATGCTGATGGCCCCCTGAACTATAGTGGCAAAAAAAAAACAACCCCCAAACACTAGAACTATGCAGCTGAACTAATATGAAGCCATGCTATAATGTGCATTCTTTCTGATTGCCATATTTTGACCTCTCAACTTGCACTTTCTACTTGTGTATTATCTGTTTATGTTCTAGTCTAGCCCATGCCCTACATCTATCCTATCCCTTGCTTTTTTCTGCAGAGGACTCTTCACATTATAAAACTAAAAAGATTGGCTATAACCCTTTCTTTTGCCTCAATAGCAAAGCATCAGATGTGAAAATCCCAGATTCTAAATTTGTGTGTTGTTTCTACCTGGATATCATCCAGGAGCTGACCTCTCAATTTCTGCCTTCTGCTAAGTGGGATCTGAAAGCTTGTTAGCCTCTCAAGGCCTTCCAAAACTAACTTATGCCAGTTGGGTCTTGTCCAGCCAGACCTCTCTTCGAAATTAACTGACTGGAAAAATGTTGACTGGCTAGCAGCACTTCAGATAGGTTTACAAATAAGTGTTCATAATAACACCTTTCTTCTTCTCTTTACTGTAGTTTTCTAAAAGAGGCTGATTGTGCAAAATTGTAATGGCTGTTGGGATGCGGATTCCCCCCCCCCCCCGTTTGTTAGCTTTTATAGTGGAATTCTATGTAGTATAGTTTTATCATTTCATAAGAAGAAAATTGTAAAATACTAGCTACCCCAGAAGTCAGTAAACATGTTCAGGATATTTACAACTCAGAGTTGAAATGAAGAGTGTTTGGTGCTGTCTGAGCTCATCCATAACATAATTTCTGGCATTGTCCAAACCTTTTGCTAAGCCATGTTCGATTTAAATGTTGTTTATTGGATAACTACAATTGCTGGAGTTTATCAAGACAAGATTAAGACAAAACCAAGGTAACTGTATTATGGTTTAGACCAGGGGTAGACAACGTTGGCTGTTTTATGACTTGTGGACTTCAACTCCCAGAATTCCTGAGTCAGCATAGCTGACTCAGGAATTCTGGGAGCTGAAGTCCACGAGTCATAAAACAGCCAAGGTTGCCTACCCCTGGTTTAGACCAATCTGGGACACCCAGCCATTATGGACAATTCAGCTATAAGTTTTATTTTACTAGGGGTGAATAGAGGGAGAGATTGAAAAGCCTTCATATCTCCAGAGGGTTAAATAAGCCATAATAGGATCACTTGTATGCCTTTTCATGTAACACTGATGTAGATCCCTACCAAAGGAGTGGGGAAAGATAAATGAATCTGCAGAATGAGATTACTTGCTCTTGGCACTTCCTTTCACCCTCTCAGGATAATTGCTTTTACCATGGAAGAGTGAGGGCCATTCGAGAATCAAGTGTGGTGCTCAGCACATGCAGAGGTCTACGGTAAGTTTCCAGCTCTTTCATGCGTTCTCTGCCTACAAAGTAACATTTGCACAATCTCATAATTTGCGGTTAAAAGATAGAGTGATGACCAAAGGACTTAAAAAAATACTATATAAATCAGGAGTCTTCAAACTTGGCTCTTTTATGACTTGTGGACTTCAACTCCAGAATTCTTCAGCCAGCATGCCTGGCTGAGTGAGGAATTCTGGGAGTTGAAGTTCATAAGTCATAAAAGGGCCAAGTTTGAAGATCCCTGAGATAAATGAATAAATAATGATGGACAAATGAGAGCTTTTCTCTGCATGAAGCTGCTGTTAAACCAATATTTCTGAGGATGATCTCAGAAGGAGTCAGTAAGCTTTATTTCTACTCTTCTTTCCAAATACCACAAGATAGGGAGAGGCAGCTTTTGGCAACAGGACTGCTGATGCTGCTGCTCCCTTTCCTTCTTCTCCTCCCCCATCATCACCAACAGCAACACTGTGGACTACACTGAGATGATCACACTGGGGGGAATACTGATACACTCATTTGTTTTAAGAAACTTGCCTTTTTTTTAAAGAAGTATCTTGCTACACCTATTTTACTACTTCTGTAAAAAAAATACTTCTTCAGAGTTTTGCACCAACTTTTTATAGACTAATTTTAAGAGGCTTCAAGGGTCATAAAAAAAAGAAGCTAGAGAGTAGCTTCACATAACTCAGAAGTTGGAAGTTACTTATCCTTGCTGTAAAAACAAATAAGAATTTGTACCCCAGGATTCCATTTTCTGGGGATCCACAGAGTCTTCCCGTATTATCCACCTTAACTGATAGCAGGTCTGAAAAATTTGGGGTAAGTGGGTTCTTTTTCCAAGTATCCCTGGAGATACCAGGGATGAAATCTGGAATTTCTGTATACAAAGCAGGTCTCTTCAAAAACAATACAAATAATCCCCAGTTCTCACAAATGCCAGGATCTTTCCATTTTCATTCATTCTTGCCTTTCTGCTTCTTTAGCCTGATATATTTATCTCAGAACAGTTTTCTGAATTTTATTTTGGTCTTAATATTTGTAGCAATCTTGCAAACATCTGATCCTTACTATAGTATGAAGTTCTCACTTAGTAATGGGATTTTGTAAAATCCTTGGATAGCAATGAGCCTTTGCTGTTGATTAACATATGCTAATTGTACAGTGCACTTAAGCAATTAAACACATTGTTTTTATAAACAGGACTTGGTTTCCTTTTGGTCACTTCAGAGCCTATTGAAAGCTGGGCTTCTGTCCAGTTAGGAAATAGCTTTGGCCATTTTTTTCAAATCCTCAATAGCCTCAAGCCAAACTTAATGTAAACAAATTGTCTGGGTTTATAAACAAAACAAAGTCTGCCTTTTATGGCTGATACACAAAGCCCGCACAAAATAGAGAGCATCACAGGTACAAAGTGAGTCACTTTGATGCATCCCTCCTTTTTCAGGTGTTTTGGCTCTGGCTTCAAAATTTCCAACCAAAATTGTAGTTCATTGTTGTTAATTTTTTGATTGACTGTACAACTGTTCCATATACTGGCCATTCTTTACATTATTCTAATATCAAAATAATTTAGGATTCCTGCTAAAAAACTGAAGCTAAACTCTTATATATTTTTTAGCTCTTGTGGAAAAATAAAGCACAACTAGGAAAGAGACTGACCACAATTATTTATTGCTTTGTAAATTGGTTTTCATTAAAACCCCATTTGGAACTCAGTAATTAATTCTGAATTATAACAGTTATAACAAATATAGCTTAATATTTAAATAAAGCAGTTCTATATATAAGCGTTTACCTGAAACTTAATGATATTAGGTTTTCTGTAGAAAACATGAGTAGGTTGTGAAAATATTGACTAAAACTCATTCCACATATATGAAAACATGCCAGACAATAATGTTATTAGCTGTTGATCACACTCTTATTTTTTTATTTATTTATCTATTCCCATAGCTACTCACCTTACAGACACGACTATGTGATGTAACATAAATAACTATAAATGAATAACATTAAAAATATTCCATATTTTTTAAAAAAGCAATATTATTAAAAGACTATTTACAGGCAGAAAAACATCTGACTAAAGAGACAATTTGGTTTTTCAGAGGCTGAGCTCCATAATAGTTTGCAATAGTTTTCAGTGACTTAGAAAGTCTTCCTTCCAGAAAAGACTGTTGAACTTGAAAAAAAGAGACACTATTAATTAATTAATTAATTAATTTGTTCATTTATTCTTTTGTTTCAATCAATTTATATGGCTGCCATCTCATAGCAGTGACTTTGACATAAAATTAAAACTCAATTTTAAAAGAACAACTAATAATAGCAGTAAATATACATACAGTAGACTGGTTTAGGTTGCTTAGACCTCTGTATTTTAAAGACTTTTCAATTTTATCATGAAGCCTTCTACTTCCATTACTAATTTTACTTTAAGATTCTTTTGTTCACTTTGTTTTATTGTAATATATTTAATATTAGTCTCCTTATAGCCATTTAATAAAGTGGAATGGTCTTTTTTGGGTCTTAGAAATAACCATGTCTTTTCTTTGTTGAATTCAAGATTTAAAATCCAGGATTTTATTAAAAATCCTGGTTAGCTTTGAAAATTAAGAATAAAATGGGCTTACCAACTTTCCAACATTACTAAATGTCACTCGTGTAAATACCAAGTCTGAACTACATCTTACTAAATTCTGCTGTTGTCCTTTTTCTTTGTTTTAGCTGATTTGCCTTCCCTGCCTTCTGATGGTTTGTTGAATTGTTTTTCAGTGGCCTTATACTTATAAGCAACAACATTAGTTACGTCTTAGAACCTCTTCCTGATAGTCAGGAGCAGCACTTAATCTACAGGTCTGAGCATCTCAAAGTTCCTCATGGAAGTTGTGGAAATGAGCATTTGGAATCAAAGGTGACAGATTGGCTTGCAGAGTTGTCAGGCCGAACTGAAACACGTCACCACAGGGTATGTCTGAGTTTTGCCTCCTATCTTACAGGATGTAGCAACATCAGAGTGAGGGGGCGAGTGGGAGGGAGTGAGGAAAAATAAGATGGTGCTTTTGTCCAGCTTTCAAATTGCTCTATATGGGCTATTCCAACAATCATTCAACCACCAGCAGTTAGAAAATATAGACTAGTTTATTATCCCAATGCTAATGGATAGAAAGCTGAAGCTGAAAAATACAGGTAGTCCTTGTTTATTGACCACCTGTTAAGCGACCATTTGAAGTTGCAACAGTGCTGAGCTAGTAATCAGTCATGTGATTACCAATTGTGACCTTCCCTGCCAGCCTCCCATAAGCAAAATCAAAGGGGAAGCTGGCAGGGAAGGTTACAAGTCTTTCAAGTAAATCTATTCCCCCCCCCCCAACCGCTGGGATTCAAAATAATTCTGTCCAGCCCCATGGGCTCGTCACTGACGGGAGGGGGGGAGGGGACAAGGACAGCGCCGGGAGGAGGCCAGCGACCAACCCAACGGCAACAGCCCTTCCCTCATTACCTGGACATGGACTGGCTGAGCATGGTGGCATGGTCATCATCTCCGCGGTTACACTGCCGAACAGCCTGTTGGCTCCATGGTCGGCCTGCTGATCAGCTGTTCAGCACTGGGAGGCACCAGGAAGTCAGAAGCCTGCCACGCATCCCAACAAGCAGCTGATCGGTGCAGGGACGTACCAGGCAGCCAGAAGCCAGTAGCATGTCCCGAAGAACAGCTGAGCAGAGCAGGGAAGCTACGTGAAGCCGGAAGCCTACAGGGCGTCCTGCCTCGCTGCTCATATCACTTCGCACACTGGTTAGGAGGGTGGGGGATGGGGCCAGGTTGGAAATGCATATGTAAGGTGTTGGGAGGCAATTGCTCCCAGCGCTCACTTTGTTTGCTGTTCTGCCTGCCAGAACGTTCCGTGATTAAAGCCACCTGTGAACTCAACTCAACTCAGGGGTGTGGTAAGGACTTCTGACACATTCATGCACACCACTGCAACCACTGCTACTGCAACAACCCATACATCCTCTTCCACCTGGTATCAACCAGCTGCAGGCCTTAAATCACTTTCCCGCACTTTTGCAACCTTCACACACTTTTCCCCTGCTTGGCAGCAGCCACTGACCCCCCCCCCCAAAAAAAAAACCTGTTTCATCTCTTTGTTGGCCACAATTGAGCAGAGAAGAACTAATTCATTTCTGATGTCCTTAAATATTTTCATTGCTTCATAAGTTGCCATTTTCTATCCTGAAAGTCCCAATAACGTCTGTGGGAGATGAGGTAATCATTTTGGCATTGTTTATTTATTTAAGGGTATATTTTCTTAAATAAGGAAAAAAATAAATAAACAAACCCAATGTTTTTTTTCTAAAGTAGAATTCAGTCAGTTCAGAAGGCTAGAAATATTTTCTAGTGTTTGTATACTTAGTGACTTAAATAAATCATAATTTAAATCTTGTGATAAAGTAATAGGAACTAATATTTATAGGAGAATAGTTCAGTAAGTATTCTGGGCTGAGGCTTAATGTATTGATAATAAAATAAGAAAGCAAGTAATCTGTATGTGTGGCAGATAACTGAGAGTAGGATTGAAATGAAGGGTACACATGATGAATCATGTATAAAAGAGCAATTCCTATATATAGCTTAAAATGTAGTTTGCTTGAGAGAAACCATTGATGCTTATTATGAACAGTTGCTCCTCTAATGTATGACTGGTCATTATTTTTCTTAAAATGAACATATGTACAGAAGTTTACTGTTTGATCAAAACAAATCCCCAGTGTATATTTTTTGTGTGTGTTTCTGCCATAGGTGAAGAGGGATGATCAACAATCAATGAAATATGTGGAGCTTCTATTAGTAGCTGATTATGCAGAAGTAAGAAAGTCTCTTATTATATCTGATTAGTGGTGAACCCAGGGCAGATAAGAGCCTATCTTCACATAACATGGACTTCAAAGTCCCAGTTATGTTACGTTAAGAGTGGCTATGGGGAAATCCTAGTATCAGTTTTGTGAGAAATACTTTTGATTACATACTGCCAAAGGTTAAGAGGCAGTTCTGCCATGTGCCAAGTCAGTCTCTAGAACTCGAACTATGAGGATATGATTGTTTCTGAGTAGCCCCCCTTTAATTGTTGATCCTTAGTGTACTGAGGAGCTTTGGGAATGAAGCAGCTGAAAAGGCACCCAGAGTGCTGAAGGCACAAAATAAAGAAAAATATGATTAACACAGATACAGTGCAATAAGAATGGTGTAGCATCAGGACAGATTTATTGTGTCTGAAGATTTATCCAAGGCAATGTTTAAAGTGACTTGCATTCTGTTTGATCTGGCCATGAGAGAAGATTTTCCAGTAGGCCACTGTGGCTGATTTGCAAAACATTTGTAGACAAAATCCCTCAGAGTTAAGTAACACTGATACAATGAACTAGCTGAGATGATATTTTATGATGTAATCTGGGATTCCTTGGAGTTTGTAGACTGTGCAGTAGTAGCAGGGTTCTCAGCAAATGAACTCTGCCATCTGCACATTGGACCAAACCTTTTGGTGGTTTTAAGCTTTAGCCAGTGGTGGTGGAGTAAATGAATTTAAGAGGAGGCAAGTGTTTCTTTGATTGCAGTGCTTACCTGTCTTCTACCAGTGGCACTCTAGATATCTCTTAATCCATTTAATCTCTCTTCATTCTTCCATATATCATGGAGAACAGGAGAGACCATTTGGGCACAATCTTGTCTAAACCTCACTCACTTCCCTATTCCAGATGGCGACTAGGGACTTGGCAGGACTAAGCAGCTGATCTCATAAACTCCTTGCTCAGGAGAAGATCATAGCTACCAAACTGTGATCTGACAATGACAGAGGGAACAAAGAAAAGATTACTAATTCCAGATCACAAAGATACCACTCCTTCAAGAACACCAAATTGGATGTGTGACCATTATTCCTAGCTGTGTCCTGGAAGAATAGACGGATCCAATAGACAGAGATGTAAAAACATTCTGCCTTAATGTGTCTGGAATCTGTTTCTAATCATTTTCTGGAAGTATCTAGTATCATTCCCAATAGGACATTAGATCATTCATGAATTTTTAATTTTAATTCCTTTTCTTTCTGCCCTGTTCTTTTCAAAGACAGGACTTCTGCTGACATAATATTTCTGGGGTAATTTGATTGTCTCACTGGCTATTTACTTGACTATTTTTTCTCTATTTTTAATTTATACTTGATATAAAGAAGTATATATTCCCAGCCATGGTGACAGCCACATTCATAGTCACAGCACGTATCCATACATCATGCACCTGAGTCTTCAATTATGTCACTCAGAATTTGCCAAGTATAAAATGCATAATATACCAATAATTTTTATTCAATCATCTTAGAGTGAATAAACCATCTTGTCTTACTCATGAATTATAGCTAAAATTGTGCAGATCCTGCTGAGCTATGGCTATAATATATTCTTAGTAAAATGAGCAAAAGTGTTATTTCATTTTTCTTTCCCTCCACAGAGAAGGTGTATGTATGTGTGTGTGCATGTGTGTGTGTGAGAGAGAATGAACAATAAAGGAGATTCTTGAGATTCCATCTTTTGTTATATAAATTAATTCACTTAATTAAACTCTGTTTCCTAAAACAGAAATGGGCAAGTTCTTCATAATAAACTCCCCAAAATGAATAAATAAATATCTTACATCATGTTTTATTAAAGAAAAAGTTTATAAAGCCCACTTAAACCCATGGAATGGAGGAGAAGGGAGATGTAGCTTTCCAGGTGTTCTTCCAATTAACTCTCATTATCTCCATGAATTATGCCCAACATAGCAAATTACAGAAATGTATATTCATACATTCAGGTAGGATGAGTTGCCATAAGGCTAAATGAAGGTAATGCAACCAACTGACCATGAGGAAGAAGGATTAAAAATATTGTTTCCTAAAACACTAGCTTTTATTCCCAAAGATCCAAATACTTCTGAAGTCTATGCCTAAGATAATGCCTTAACTGTTGTAAAGAATGAAACAAATGGGAAGCAAATCTTCCCAGATTTCTCTGCTGGCTTTGGAAGTTGGGATGTCATTCATTTGTTATTGTTAAGCACTTAGCAATAACAATGTCACTTAGACTTATATACACTTCATAGTGCTTTACAGCTCTCCCTAAGCAGTTTACAGACTCAGCATATTGCCCCCAACAATCTGGGTGCTCATTTTACCAACTTTGGAAGGATGGAAGGCTGAGTTAGCCTTGAGCTGGTCAGGATTGAACTCCTGGCAGTTGGCAGAGTTATCCTGCAATACTGCATTCTAACCACTTAGATGGTGTCTACTTGGTTTCTTCCTGTGCATCTCTATCATGCCCAATCTTGTTTCCTATTAATACAATACAGAGTTTGTTGCCCCTTGTGGGCTGTGCTTCAAAAGATTTAGGCCAATTCCAGGTTTCTGATATTCTAGTGAAGTGAATGCTGTAAGCATCTTCAAGACTTCGAGTACCCATTTTACTTAAAGTCCTACCACCTACCTATCCCCAGTTAAAATTTTCATCCCATATTTGCCCTGTCCATTGTGTGTCAAATTTCGAAGCATGGTTTTGCTGGTGCGACAAATATTGCTTCTCAGCTTGCCAATGAACTGGGGGGGAGGGGAAGAGGTGTGGTATTCAAAGATTAAGAAGCCAGACTGTGAGACTCAAGGACATTACACCAGGTGTCTGGCCAGACCTAGAGATACTTTCTCATAACAATATTTTTCCACTTGATTGGGCAAAGTGACCTGGTCCAGAGAGAAGAGGAAGAATTCAATGCTTTTATTATATGGGTTTGGGAGGGGTGTTGCCAGAGCTGGTTTTGTTTTCATTAGTGCCAAACTGATGTACTCAATAAAGTTTTACACTGAGAGATTGGAATGTCTCGAAGGAGTTTGCTTGGTTGGGTTCATCAGTTGGAACCTTGACATTATGGGCTGCTGCTGCTACTTACATGTGATGAAAACACTATTTCAAATGTCATATGACCAAAAACATTAAGATAGTGAAGGAGAACACTCATTGAACAAGTGTGTACACTTTACATTATTTATTTGGATTCAGTGTTTCATTTAAACATGAGAAGAGAAGTTAGGGAAAAGAAACTTCATTAGTCATGATGGTCTTAACTCAAAACTTGACTTATAATATCCATGGGATAAACTTGAGACTTAGATTTCAAATCCTGGCGGCTAGGGCAGTAACAAGAGCTGAACATAGTATATTATCTACAGCTAGAAATGGCAGCACCTTATTCATTTTATTTATGAAAATGCATAATGTAATATAGTTTTGACTGATTTTTTTTTTGCAGTTCGGCAGCACTGATTGTGGCTGAATTTCTTTTTCTATTTCAGTTTCAGAAAAATAAATATGATCTTCAAGCAACCAAGAATAAACTAGTGGAAGCTGCCAATTATGTAGATAAAGTAAGACCAGATATATGTTTTGCAGGAAAACCTGTTATCTTTTAAAATAACAAATCAGGAAAAGATGCAAATTTAACTTCCTATTCTGTGTAATTTCCCACATTTTCCCAAAAAAGAAAAACAGAAACTAATGGATAGAAGAAGAAAAAACTTGGAGTAAAGATAAGGTTGTGGGAGAGTTGCCTTTTAATTTAATTATTCTGTTACTGAAAAAAAATACAGCCACAGAACAATTAATATTTATCTTCTAAAATATATATATTCTTTTTATGCAAAAAAAGAAAATTAAAGAAAAAAGGAAAAAAGGAACATACAACTATAGGAAAAAAAGTTTAAATACTTAGAAAATTCATGTTTTTTTTATATATATCATGCAGCCAAATTTTAAGATAATATGTAATAAGTCTTTCCATGCTATCAATGGAATGTCACTTTTTAAATATAAAATAATTACGTCTCTCTAATCCTGGATGGTAAATCAGAATAACTCTGAAATAATGATTTTCCTTTCTACTCCTCGTCCATGATCATATATCAAAATTTGGGAATCTGTAGTCATGAATAATTATGGATATAACTGTAGATTCCAAAATTTTGGTATATAGTTTGAGGGCATCTTCACATCTTTAAACAACAGTGATCTTATCACATGAGCTGAGAGCAGGTTTGGTGGAGTAGTTAAGATGTCAGGCTAGAAACCAGGAGACTGTGAGTTCTAGTCCCATCTCGGGGCACAAAAGCAGCTGGGTGAGTTTGGGCCAGTCACTCTTTCAGCCCATGGAAGAAAGCAATGGCAAATTATTTCTGAAAAAACTTGTCAAGTAAACCTCAGAGACTTGTCTAGCTAGTCTCCAAGAACTGGACACAATTGAACAGAAGATTAAAAAAAAAATAAGAGTAAAGTGTCATAACGCAGTTAGTAACCAACTCTTTGTAGACATTGTGTGAGGAGTCTATTGCCTAAAGAAATTATTTAATTTATCTCATTTTAAGATGTAGCAATATGGTTGATATGTTTTAAACCCTTTCTCATTGATTCAGTAGCATAGGATATCTTGAAGATGACTATTATCAACCTTAGTAATAAGAATTTTTCTATTTCATTTCTCCCCCCTATGATATTGCAATTGTGATGGCAGTGTTGAATGAAAGAAGACCACTTGATGGTCGGTGGGTGCTTTTGGAGCAGAGAAGTGTATAGGCTGCTTTCATGCTTCGCAATACCTTTTCTGTTTGGAGACCAATCCCAGAAACCTGCAAACCACAAAGAACTCAATTCAGCAGATGTTCTTTGGAACATCATCATATTGTCTATCATGGACATTTCCTTCTCAGGGAGAAATAATAAGAAAGAATCTGTCACAAAGAAAGGTGGCTCATATTAGCGACAAAGTCTATTAGTTAACTAAAACCTTTCTACTTTTCTCCCCTCCTCAACTTTTAGTTTTACAGGTCGTTAAACATACGGATTGCTCTGGTTGGACTTGAAGTTTGGAATGACTATAATAAGTGTGACATCTCTGAGAACTCGCATTCAACGCTTTGGTCATTTCTTGCTTGGCGACGCAGATTACTAATACATAAAAAGCACGACAATGCCCAGTTGGTTACGTAAGTTGCTGATTTTGGAACAGTATGACTCCTCCTAGATGACAATTACAGCAGGGATAAGGAACCTTGGACCAAATCTGGCCTGCTAGGCTGGATCAGTACCTTCTCTTGTTTTAAATGGAAGAAGGGTGAGGCTTCCTCATAAGTCTCTCTTCTTAAGTTCCTCCCTGTGAGATCATCTATCGTACTTTGGATGGTATGCAAAGTTAGATCTGATCCAGTTCCTCACTGTTGTCTCAGGAGAGTGTGTAGTGCAAGCAGTCATCTTAGGTTACGTAAAATGAACTCCTTTCAAAATGTAACTGCATGCAAAGATGGACAAATTTTATTCACCATTTGGTTCTCTCTGTCTTGCAACATGGTACAGTGGCATGTCCTATGGTTCTACTATTGGCTTGGCCCCTCTGATGGCTATGTGTTCGGCTTATCAGTCTGGAGGGATAAATACGGTAAGTTACATTTGATAAATAAATACTTGCCTTGTTCAAAACAGTTTGAAATAAATAGGAACAAACCCAAAACGAAAAGATGTTTTGTGCTATAGGTCCCTCCCACCTTTTCTTAAAATTGGTGGGTTGTGTTTTGTTTTGTTTTTGTCAAAAGGGTGGAATTTCAGGATCCAGTTTCTTTAATAGACATTACCTCTATGGTTTGCTTTAAAAACAAGCATGAGGAAGGGAGGAAGTTTGTCCACAAAGGGGTGAAAATAATCAGTGGGGCGCTCTGTTTGTTTCTGCTAGTTTTTGGCCAGATTGTTTTATACAGGCTGCAACTTTAACCAAATAAGACATACTCACCCAATAAAACTTGCTAAGAGTAGTTATTTAAGCATTATCTAATGACAAAGTGAGGACTCTGAATTGACTTGATGATCCAATAGTTTGTTTTCTTGACCAGCTATCACAGCATTCTCAGGAGGCTTCTCCAACACCAAAGTTCACAATTGTCAAAACAACAACAACAACAATAATAACAACAATAATAATAAAGTTGGAAGGGACCTTGGAGGTCATCTAGTCCAACTCCCTGCTCAGGCAGGAAACCCTATTCCATTTCAGATAAATAGCTGTCCAATTTCTTCTTAAAGACTTCCAGTGTTGGAGAATTCATAGCTTCTGGAGTCAGATTGTTCCACTGATTAATTGTTCTAATGGTCCAGAAAGTTTCTCCTTAGTTCTAGGTTGCTTCTCTCTTTGGTTAGTTTCTATCCATTGCTTCTTGTCCTGCCTTCAGGTGCTTTGGAGAATACTGTTTGTATGCTGCTGCTTCAAAATCCAAATTTCACTTTCATTGAGCGACACAGGAAAAATCAGTGCCTGCGTGAATCTGATTTTTATTGGTAGAAACACATCATGGCATCTGAATATCTCTCCAAAGTCTTCATGGTCACTTTACCAAGCACCGCTCTGTAGCATATTTCTTGACCTATGGTTCCTTTGCTCTTGGTAGTTGATCCTAAAAGGCAAAATCTATCCACCACTTCCATATCTTCATTGTCATTTCTAAGTCTGCTTGCTGTGCCTATTGTCATTAGTTTATCATTCATTATACAATAAATTAGATTATATCTTTATAATCTTGCATTCATTTTTTATTGTGCTTCATGACTTTCATTACCAAATGATGTATAAACCTACTGCAGATTCCTGTGCTTATTGTAGGTTTTCCAGAATTTTTACTCAGAGTTGCATTCTTATGTAGTACATGTAGTCATGTATTATTATTTTTAATTGTATTTTTAATTTGTTAAAATATTTTTTTCTTGTGCAGTGATGGTTAAATACCCAAAGTTGCTTATTTCAGATGGGCAAACTTATACACTTAATAAATACATTAAAATAGATGGATGCCATTGAACATAGTAAAAAATGGACGTTTGGGCTATGATCTTAATGCACTCTGCTTGCCTAAATGGGCCAGGACGGGGAATATACCGCAGAATTGTAGTATTAAGTCATCTTAATTCTATGCTTGGACAGGATCACTCTGAAAATGCCATTGGAGTTGCTGCCACTATGGCCCATGAGATGGGTCACAATTTTGGCATGAATCATGATTCAGTTGGCTGCTGCTCTGCCAGTCCCAGAGATGGAGGGTGTATTATGGCTGCTGCAACAGGGTAAGCTGTTCGTGTTTATGTACAAAAAATCTGCAGTAATGAAGCATTTCACTTAAATTAAGACCTTCACAAGGAAAGGGACTTTATCTGAATTACTATTTTGTCCAGGACCGATACAAGAACCAAACAAGCAAGATGATGGACAACAGTGTCATAAGGCAAACACCATCCCTTTCTTATGTACAGATGTTCAAAAGCGTCAGGGCTTATATTGTAACATCACAAGTGTAGAATATTGTATTTCAATAACATTAAATAATTCAATATTATAAAATAATTTCACACTGTATAGGACATTGCACTACTCTTTTTCAATCGTTCAATAGAATTTAATTTACTACTAAAATCAGCATTAATTTCAATTTTTTAAAGCTGTTTTGTACATAAAGAATTAAGCAAAACACTGTTAACATTTAGAGGGTATCAGTTCAAAACCAAATTCCTTCTTTGACCCCAAACAGGTTACGGAGTGCTTGTTTTCACCTTTATAGGCAAATGTTTATGGAGATATTCAATCATTCAGGTCATGGTTGTCCCAAAGGTGGTTTTTCAGGAGGCAACTGGATTTTCTTGTTTTTTCTTTGGAGACATTTCTCTTCTCATCCAAGAAGCATCTTCAGCTCTGACTGGATGGTGGGGGGTGGAAGGATTTATATTCCTTGCAGCCAGCTGGTCATTTGCATTATTTTAGAGAGTCATTGAGGCCATTTGGAGGTTTATCGGCATCCTCAGGGTCACTTGAGTAGCGTAAATGTGTGTGGAGCCTTCTTGGCTGCAGGATGTGAGGACACAGATAAACCTCCAAATGGCCTCAACGATTCTCTAAAGCAGTGGTTCTCAACCTTTTTAATGCCGCGACCCCCAACCGGTCATAAATCAAGGACTACTCAACCGGTCGTAAGTCGAGGACTACTCAACTGGTGCAGCACCATTTGCAGAATGGGACTTTTGGCGGGCTCAGCAGGGCAGAGACAGCCTGGACAATTCCTATTGGCTTTTGAAAGCCAATAGAATTAGACTCTATTCAAGAGAGTCTATTCTATTGGCTTTCAAAAGCCAATAGAATAAAAGGGAGTAGCACAGCTAAGGAAAAGGGGAAAAAAATGGCAGACTGCATTGTTTGGCGACCCCCGTGAAATGGTCGTTCGACCCCAAATGGGGTCCCGACCCACAGGTTGAGAAACGCTGCTCTAAAGGAAGGCAAATGACCAGCTGGCTGCAAGGAATATAAATCCTTCCATTTCCCACCATCCAGTCAAAGTTGAAGAAGCTTCTTGGATGAGAAGCAAAACATCTTCAAAGAAAAAACAAGAAAGTCCAGTTGCTTTCTGAAAAAGCACCTTTGGGACAACCTTTATAGGCAATTGGTCCAGATGTATCTCTGGTTCTTCAGGAACCAAACATCTCCCGAAGGCAATTTTTTCTAACTAGGAAAATAATCACAGCAGCTGGCAAGTTAGAATTTGTCTTTCAAAATTGTAGCCCTTGTTCTAGATGATTAGGGACATAATTGTCATTCAGCCAACATGAACTTTCCAGCAAAGTGGACCAACTTTCCCCCCTTTTTCCTTTCTTCCTATCACGTAGTAGTTCTCCTTTTAGGGAACTAAGTCAAGTGAGTCACCAAGGTTACAATAATATTTATTAAAGGGACAAGTAGAGATTGCAGCTTGGGGACAGTTGTTAGATTTCCTGCAGGATAAAGAAAAACATGAAGTTTTGACTTTGAGATGTGAGGATTAGATTTGATTTGACTAGAGAAATATTGTGGATTGTCAGATAGAGGTAGTCCTTGATGCATGACCACAATGGGGCCCAAAATTTCTGTTGCTAAGTAGGACAGCTGTTAAGTGAATTTTTGCCCTGTTTTATTATCTTTCTTGACACATTTGAGTGAATCACTGCAGTTAATAACATGGTTTTTATGGGAATATGAGCCAGTTGGCAAGTGTCCAAATTTTGATCATGTGACCATAGGGATACTGCAGTGGTTGTAAGTGTGAAAAACTGTCATTATTCACCTTTTTCATTGTAACTTTGAATGGTCACGAAATGAATGGTTGTAAGTTGAGGACTACTGTGTATAGCTATATTAACTGTATACTTACTGTATATGTTTACAGTTAATAGGCTTCTATATGCTAGATTAAAGTTAAACTAAGAACATATATTTTTTCATATTGGTTGGTTTAAGTAAACTTCAAAGGTTTACTTAAACTTAGAGGTTATTGTATTATATAATTGTCTCTGTATTGAAAAAAGTCAGACATCATTTTTATATATGTTATTTTATGTATTTTTTGTCACTTTTTAACTTTTCCCTTCTATCTCCCCCTTTTTTCTTTCCCCCTTTATGTTAGTGTGTATTTTATTGGGTTTTTTATAAAAAAAATTAATAAAGCCCAACTCTGGAGTACCTTTTTGGAGGTACTAATGCTTAAATAATAGTACTCAGTTCAATACTGCTCCTTGGGTTTTCATAGGGCACCCTTCCCCAGAGTCTTCAATGAATGCAATAGGAAAGAGCTGGAACGGTATCTGCAATCTGGCGGTGGGATGTGCCTTTACAATATGCCAGATACAAGGACCTTATATGGAGGACAGAGGTGTGGAAATGGGTATCTGGAAGAAGGGGAAGAATGTGATTGTGGAGAAGTAGAGGTAATTCCTTTTGGTTGGTTTCACAGATTTTCAGAGTCAACTGGAAATTAGTATTTAGGTATTCCTTAAGAAATAATGAGAATTATGTTCCTCTAGTTACCTTTGACATTATAGCCTCCACCAAATATTTTTCTGGTTTGAAAAGCTTCTGTTTATTCTAGCAATGTCTTAATGTAACTTAGTGAACATGGGGAGAAGCTTCAGAGTCAGTTCCTTCCACCCACATCTCCTCATTCCATTTTTTGCTACTTGAGAGGAACATCGCTCCTCTTCTTTCTAGAGTTTAGAATCTGCTAATGCAGTCCAAAAACATTTGAAATTAATTATTCAGATAAAATAGCAGTGAGCCGGTATTGATGCTATTGTCCGAGAAACTTAAGAGCAGATTCCATTGTTTGATAAACTCGGACCTGATGTTTTGGTGTTTTGGTCTCAATTTATTTGAGAATTGAAGCATTTGAATCCCAGATGTGACATGATTAAGAAGCAACTTTGAAGCTTCTTGGAGGCTGTTATGCTTGGCATGAAAAGTAAAAGCATGTCTAGCTACAATCTCACAAGCCACCCAGAAAGACAGCCCAATGCTTTCCAAGTTTTTTAGATCTAGAACATCTGTTCCGTAAGTGCAGCACGTGTCATTTCTGTTATTTCTTCTGCAGGAATGTCATAATCCTTGCTGCAACGCTGCTGATTGCACTCTGAAGCAGGGTGCTGAGTGTGCTCATGGAATTTGCTGTCACAAATGCAAGGTGGGATCACTTTCCTTTTATCTGTGCCTTTCGATTCCTGTTTAGTTTCTTAATTTTAATGTACATAATAAAAGGCCTGAATTCCCATTTGAATCAGCACTCTGATTTGGAAAGACTGTAACCTAAGGGCACACATCCTTTTCTGAGTCACTGCAACAGGAAGAAAAGCAGGGTTAGGGTTACATGACTGCTTCATCTACTTGTGAGTAATTAAGTGCCAGAGAGGACTGGTTGGTGGCACAATGTCAACTAGGATCCCTATAGGAGTGGGGGAAGGAGTAGAGATTGTGGGAAGGCCTTAAAGAACCCCAGCTTCAGTCAACCAGAGGGTTCAGTCTACCAATCATAACCATCTATCAAGCAGTGTGTGTTAACATGCCACGCTCTTCAAGGCTCTATGGAAGGCCAGCAGGATTGGGCCAACCTAATCTCTGGAGGGATCATGTTCCAGAGGGCTGCTGCTATTCTTCTTCAGGGCCCCACCAACTGACATTCCTTGGCTGACAGTACCCACAGCATGCCTCTCCTGCCGCATTGCATAGGACAGACAGAGACAACCAGGTTCTGATTTTCTCAATTTTATATCTTTGGGAAGCCACTCAGAGCAGCTGTTTTGGCTAAAATTAGTCCCACCCTAAGATTAGAACAACTACAGATGGAAAGTTTGTCTTTCAAGGAGGCAATTGACCTAGCTGGGCCTGAAGTTTAAGCCTTCCTGCTTGCTTGGGTTACCAGTCTTTTTTATATGCAGTATCTGGCAAGACAAAACCTCATTTAAGGTTTTCTCTGACCCTGCTTCATATTGATAGTTTTCTGTTGTCTGTTATATTTTACATCAGGATTTTTCTATAGATTGAATTTCATTTCTTGGGTAGGGTGGACAAGATAAAATATACAGACAAAAGATTCCTGTGTATCACTTTACATTATAGCTTTTCTAGAAAATGTACTTAAAATAGTCTTGGTATGCTGGGTTTTTCCCATGCTCCTCCTGGAGGCCTTTTTTTTCGTAAGTGCATCCCTTGACCCTACATTTGTGGCCAATTGGTCAGGCAAAGCCACTCAATATGCAACATTTGGATTTTTGCACACCACTGCTGTCTGATATTTTGGATTGTTTGTGGTGGCATTCAAAAGCTTAGATCTTTACATGGTGGCTTTAAAAGCTTAGTCCTTTACATGGTGACAGCTGAATACAGCTGTCTAGATACCATCACAGAGCAAAAGTACCTTCCATGCAAATTCAAGCAGTGACCACATCTCCTGTTTTGGTTAAAAGTGAAAGTGTTTCTTAAGTGTTGCATGCACACAGCAGTTCCTTTCCCTTTCTTGTACTTGTTAAACAAATGAAACTTCAGAATCAGCATTAGGTGTACCATTTTCCTGAAAATAAACAGTGTAGCCTATTGGCTGTTGAAATAATCATTTAAATTTTTTATAATATATGCCAGACCTTCTACGTAAGACAGAAATCAACTTCCACTTGCTCTGTCCATTAAGCCACTTGCTAAGTTATCAGTGCATCTGCCAGGAGCTTTTAAGCAATAAATACGATTAAAAAACAAACAAACCAGAAAATGCTGGGAATTGAAAATGAAATATTTTCCATCCCAACTCTGTGCTCTCTCTCTTTCTGATATGGGCTGTCCTGTGGAAAAAAGGTATAAATGATCAATAATGAAGCATTACTGAGAGGAAGTCTAAATTAGGATATGGTTCAAGACTGCCTTTGTTTGAAAAGGTTTCCTCGAGTGTTTGACAAAAAGAGATCCTTTTTATAGAATTGAGGCAACAAAAATGTAATTTGGGAACAATAATAAGACATTTCTTCCCTTTAGTGATGCTTCAAGAATGAGGTTGAATGGAAATGATATTTGCTATACAGAATGAAGGGAATTGAAAGTCAGGGTTGTCTTCAGAATAAATATATGATATATTTAAGTGCTTGGATCAATGCTTAGCCACCTTAACTGCAATTCCCAAGTATTCCATACTACCCTGAAATAAACACCCAATTACTTTCCCTTCGTTTAGTTGGTTTCACCTGGAACACTTTGCCGGGAACAGGCGAGAACATGTGACCTACCAGAACACTGTTCGGGCAAATCACCATTTTGCCCTGCAAACTTCTATCAGTTGGACGGTACACCCTGTGAGGATGGGAGGGCATATTGCTACAATGGAATGTGTTTGACATATGAGCAGCAATGTTTGCAGCTCTGGGGATACGGTAAGGACGACTAATCTCTATGAAAGACAGAGGCCCCTTGCATTCACAGGTGTAAGGAAAAGGAAGGAGAAGATTGTTTTTATTTTTAGTTTATGGAACTATAATTACATCAAGGAAGAAGAACAGAGAAAGGAAAAATCCAGATGTTCATCTGCAGAGGCTATTGTAATCAATAAAAGCCAGGCAACTACTTTTATGCATAATTCTGAGCCTTGCTTTGCTGAATTATGTTTGTTGGATAACATGTTGATTGAGTCCATATAACTCTACCTTAATCTTAACATGAACAGCTGGGTTCATACATAACACACTACATCAGAATGCCATAGTGTGACCCTAGCCAAATCAAGTCTGGGTGATTTTTTAAAAAAATTATTTTTAAGTTTGAAAATTAATTCCAATTTTCATCCCAAGGGCTAAAAAGTCTTTTTAAAATGCAGTGTGACACTTCTTATGCTTATATTATAAATAATTATACATATAGATAGATATGTGAGGATGGAGGTTCGTTCTTAGCTTTTGGGTTGGTTTCCCAAAATTTTGTTACCAGGCTAGGTAACATCTTCAGTGGAATTTAGGGGGTATCGGTGTTGGTATTCTTCTGGTTATAAGGGCTTCATGTGATCAGTGGGTCTTGTGATAGGGCAATCACGTATCTATATCTAACATATCAGTATACAGATATGTTAGATATAGATAATCATAGATTATATTTGCACGTGAATAATCGTGTCTGGCAAACCCCATGAGGATCATATGAAATATATTTTACAGAGTGGGCTAGGACAGTTTCACCTATCCTAGTAAAGCAACAATTTTGTCCTTACTGATAGGTTCATACCCAATGCTACGCAGCTGTGTGATACAGTTGATAAGTTATCTTTCACAAATACCATACATGTGAATCTTTTCTATACAGGAGCAAGGCCAGCCCCTGACCTTTGCTTTGAGAAAGTTAATGCTGCTGGAGATTCCTATGGGAACTGTGGGAAAGATATCACTGGGAACTACAGGAAGTGCGACACAAGGTAGAAAGACACAAGGACAACTGTTTTCATGTGAGATGAGATAATTCGGTATCCTCACAAGTTAAAAGATGAGAAAATGAATTCAGTCTATATTGCAAATAGCTGCAAATTAATGGGCAATTTTGTTGGACAAAATTGTCACTTTTGCTTTGCTCATATTAAATCTTTCAGAGCAAGTTCATACCATGACTTGCTGGTTGTAAAAAGACTGAGATTATTTTTCATGACCTCCTATCTATGAACATTTTCCCACTATTCCTTGTTGCATACATAAATAATGTCAATTAAAAAACAGTAAAGAAAGGACTCATGAGTTGTGTGAATATGAATATATCATCTAAAGTAAAGAAGTAAGGAGCTCCTTACTTCTTCCAGCAGATTTCTCTGAAAAATCTTTTGAAGCTTAAAGCTTTTCAACAATTCCAGACTGTTTTCATAAGTAACCCCCTTTTTAAAAAAAAGTGAAGAAAAAAAGAAAATCCACCAATACTTTGGTCCCAATATGGATCAGGACTTTCCACACTTGATACTGAAAAGAAAGAGATATGGTGTTCCATGCTGAGATATCAAAATGTTCTTTACAACTATAAGCATGCTTATTTTCTTGCAATTCCATAATCCTTAGATACACAGGGCCAACAAAGATTATATTAATGAAAAGCAGAATTAAATTTAACTCAGAAAGTAATGGAAAGTCACTGTAAATGTTTGAGTACATATACATAATTCTGGAGACCCACCAGGAAGTAAGTCATTGCTTTTTTCTGTGGGCAATGTCATAAAGAAAAGTTTTTAGTTGATGAAAAAAGCAATGGCTTATTTCCTGGGGGTTAGACTCTATGTGACATTGGCTTTTTAATTACCCTGTTATTGATAGGGTAATCCTGAGGTCAGTAAACATGAACTAAGATATTCAGCATCTAAGTAATATACTTTTCAGCATGTAACATGGAATGTGATTCACTAGGTCCCTCAAGATTCTTCATTTTATTGGAAGTGAATAATATTATGAAAGCCTTTGTGTTAGGTGGGTGTGAAGCTAAGATCTTAGCCAGACTCACAGATTTTTTTCTTTCTTTCCAGAAATGCTAAATGTGGCAAGATACAGTGCCAAAGTTCTGCTTCTAAGCCTGTGGAGTCCAATGCTGTTGCAATTGATACGACTATCAAATTAAATGGAAGGGAAATTCATTGTCGCGGTACCCACGTCTATCTAAATGAAGAAGATGAAGGAGATATATTAGACCCAGGTCTTGTGATGACGGGAACCAAATGCGGTGACAGTCATGTAAGCCCTGGCTGTCTATTGCACCTTATTCCGCTTCAAAAATACATGTTTGCTGTTTCCCAGAATTAACTGCATGCAACAATTTGTTTTAGAGGTTTAAAACCTGAAAGGAGTCCTCAGAATCAACAACTTGGAGTAAGAAGGACACGCTGGGTATAGCTTCCCTCCCTTGGAGCAGGCTGCTCTTTGGCTAAGATCAGGTTGTCACTCCCATTACAAATCTTGAATCTGGATGTATTCACAATCTGCACAACATGTTGGATGCTGCACTACAGATTTATGGAATTTGGGGAAGGGTTAGTTTAGTAACCCTTCATTCCTCATAAACTGTTGCTCTTTCTTCCCTTATATTAACTTCTATTAGTTGGATCATGCTGGGCATGATGCTGACAGCAATGGTCTTACCTATGGGGTAAGTGCAAGAGTTGGCTTCTCAGGGTTGATGCAGTGGTTTAATACCCCAAGCCTGCCTTACACCCAAATCATTTAATAGCATTATTCCTGTAGTACAGCATTTCTTAAACATTTTTTACTATATTAAAAATTACTCTAGTATAATTCTGAATGCTTGGTTTCTCCTACAGGTGTGCTTTGAGGGCCACTGTCAGAATACCTCCTTCTTTGAGAGTGGAGATTGTGGAAAAAAGTGCAACGGCCATGGAGTAAGTATCTGCCTTGTATTCAGGTACCAGGTGACTGTATTTATTCCTTGCTTAGTTGGCCAGCTCTTATTCTTTTTAAGCTATTTAGATAGCATCCATGGAGAAAGATGTCCTATCAAAGATATGCCTGGCTGTAGAAGGACTTCCAGTTCAATTACAGTTGGAGAACTAGTTGGTATGGTGGTTAAGGTATTAGTCTAGAAACCAGGAGACTATGAGTTTAGTCCTACCTTAAGCATGAAAGTCAACTGGACGACCTTGGGCTCTTCACTCTCTCAGCCCAACCCACTTCACAGAGTTGGGATGGGAAAATAGGAGGAGGGAATATGTTATGAACATTGCGTATGTTCACTGCTTTGAGTTACTCATAAAATAATGAAGCTGGGATCAAAATCAAATAAATAAATAAATAATCAATCAACCTCTGGAACAGGAATCAAACACATTGTTTAAAAACCATTCTTGTTTAATTTGTACATTGTCCAAAATATATTCTAGAACAGAAATGTACACTATATATGTCCTTCTAGCACCCTATCTGTGTTCTGACACTGCCTTGAAGTCATATGGCTAAAATTTGGCAGCAAAATGCTAATTTTTAGTAAGCAAAACAATGGGGATTGATGAGAACAGTATGACGAAAACAGGAATAACAAATATAGCCTTCTCCCTTTTCAGTGATCTTAGCATGTCAAATGACTTTCTGTGGCTTTTTTAAAGGTACCAAACTTTTAAAAAACACATACACTCTCATTTTAGGAAAATAATTTTTCCATCCTATATTAACACATGAACTGTATAATAAATAAGGAATTAAAATGTATGCCCATGCCACAGCTTTTAATTTAAAGTAAAAATTCAATGACTATAAATGCTTTTATACTTTTCATATTTTGTCCTAAGAGAGGTTCAGCAGAAGTTAAGTGGAAGAAAGAGGAACAAAATGCAAAGCATACTTTTGTATTTATGATCTATTTTTCTTGGAATATTTAATAGCAAAAGTTGGATTGTTCACTAAGCAATCGTATTTATGGCAAAGTGGTGGTTGAACAGTGAGACACAATAAAAATGTTAGAGTAGTTGTCCACCATGCAAGATTGAATTGATGCTTTTCTCACAGTTTTAAACAAATCCTAGGGTTCTCTTCAGATAGGCTATGAAGTGTTATATAGATCTTAAATATCAAATGTTGGATGTGGCTTTCCTTAAGCTGTGGTTTTACATTTGAGAAGAAGTTATGGCCATTTGTTATGGAGAGGGTATTTATTGGGAGGTTAAAAATAGTGGGATGTCATCTCTGTTCCTCTTCAGGAATGCACATATAAGTAACAGTGAATTTTGAAGGATGGAAATATATCCTTTGTGAATTAAGTGTAAAAAATGAAAAGAATGTTCAAACACTGCATTTCTTGGGAGGTATGACGGATATAACATGGATTGTCTGGGTGACTTTTAGATACACTGAGTTCTAACAAAACCCAACGCAAATTGCAAAAGCTTCTTGTGCTGTTTGGATTGGCATGAGCAGGGTGTTTACTACAGAAGTAACACTGATGGTGTTCTCTCAATACAGACTTGCAACAACAATCACAACTGCCATTGTTTCAGTGGATGGGCACCTCCATTTTGTGATAAACCTGGAAAGGGAGGAAGTCTGGACAGTGGCCCCATGCTTGAAAAAAGTGGGTCTAATTTGTATTTTAATTTGATTAATGACATTTGAACAGAATTTGTGGGGCAGGAATTTGGGTGAGCAGATGAGGTAAAGGACCACAATGTATTGAGTGGTCCATACCAGAATAATTGAGGGAAAGATGGAGTTTTTGTCTCTTTCATGTTCAGCATTGGAACACATGACCCAGATATGTCCTTTACTGTTACCTGTTCAAATACTGGCATCCTACAGTGGGGTTTTTTTGTGTGTGTGGTGGTTGCATTATAGCACAATCAGTGAATTTAAATAATTTTGCCTTTTTTTTTCTGGTCCAGATCCTATTCCAATCATCATAGGTGTCCTGGTTTCCATCTTGCTTTTGACTTTAATTGGACTAGCTTTTTGCTGTTATAAATGGAGAGCCAAACTTGTGCCAATTAAGAAGATTATCTTTACTTCCAAGAAAACCCAACAGTCCAGGTGAATGAATGAATGAATGAATGGTTTGTCAGTACATGAGAAAATTGCTTTTTTTATGGTAAGAAGGGATGAGGGTCAATGTGATATTGCTCATATCCCCTTATATTTCATTTGTTTTCTGGATACATATGCATGACAAGCCAGTATTCTTTTATTTATATCTGTATTATAAAGGTACAATTACAGTTTCTGGAAAGGCTTTGGAGACCATATTTAAGACTTTTAGGGAAAGGTTACCTATGGCAAATCTCAGTCTGTAGATCTCTGTCCTAAATTGATTTATAAACACAGTGGTTCAGTACATCTAAGAGGTGAATTACACATAAGAGCCTTAGTATAGTGTGTGAACTATAATATGAAATATATTCAGGGCATAATTCCACTTAATTTTTAGATAAATATTCAGACCTGTCAGTACTATAGATTGCCTGCTAGAAACCCTGTTATGAAAAGAAGTTTCTTCTTATATTTAACAAGAGATTTCACACATAGAAATATGAATTGTTACAACTTGGCTACTGAGTATATTGGCCTTTTTCCAATGTTAGTCTACATAAAAACATGTGGTTTTATTTGTAAGGCATTCTTTATACAAATAAAGCAAGTGGAAGTGCAAAAATCATTTATAATACTTGTTTGTCTCTATTGTTTGGATACAGCCCACCTCTTTCCATTCAGAAAGAAGTGGATGGACATGCCAACCCAACATTCAAATCGAAAACTCCACAAGGACAGAGAAAGGTACTTTGAAACGACTAATTTCTAATCAAACCTTTGTTGTTCCATGCTCTGATTCCTCAGCATTTTAAAATACACCACCAAAGGAAATATCTTAGCTGTACAACTAATTTTCTTGTTATGTTCTAAGAAACTTGTTCTATATGTCAATTCCCATAATCTCTGAACTAGACCATTTTGGGATCTTCACCCATTTTTTTTCCTCACTGCAAATCATTATTTATATATTTATTAATTATTTGTTAATTCGAGACAGTGTAAGTAGGGGATCTGTCATTTTACTCTTATAGCAATCCCTCAGGGGAAGGGTGGTTTGAAATATAATACCTGACTCAGTTGCTCAGTGAGTTACTTAGTCAAGTGGAGGCTTCCAAGCTCCCTATCTTAAACACCATACTATATTATAATGCCTCTTAATTTTGTTCTATTTTAGAGTTGCAAATCGTATTTATTGCAAAAAATGTTTCTAATAAGGAACATATATAGATTATATTTTAAATGTAGTCTTCCATGAAACCAAGTGCTGGAGCCTATAAAAATAAGGACATAAGAATAAACAGAAAAATCCACATACACACACACACACACACACACACTAAGGCAAAGCAGCCAGGACATAAAATATATCAGCAGCATTTGGCGGCACTCATTCAAAAAGATACTTAGAAAACAGAAGTGTAGTGATTGCTGTGAATGTGTTTGATCCCTGTGTGTATTTGCCAGAGTAGGAAAAAGGTAAGATAAAATGAATTTTACACCTGGTGACTTAACGAACACATCCCTCCAAGCAGTTTGGAGTTGTTCTTTGACTTCCAACTCTCACTTATAACCGTGCAAATCCCTTGAGGTCCCCCAATTAAGCATGAACTAAGTCTATCCTACTTCATTTTGATCCCAGATTGGGTCAGTCCAGCGCTGTCCTCTGCTGAAGCCGGGAAAAAAGTTAGTTATCAATCAGTCATACTAACTTATAATATACCGTAGAAATGCCATCTTCCTCTTTGTGCTTGTAGATTACTGATATACAGAATATACCTTCAAAACCTGAAGTGCTGTATTGCCAGCCACCTGCAGAGTTCAAGAGACAGGGGCAGACACCACCCCCGGTTTTTCCAGCTAACTATACAAAGAAACCCCTCTTGCTGGAACATCAGACCGAGGAGAAACATTTGCCAAAACGAACTCCACCAAGCAGGCCTGCACCGCCACCTCCAAACGTCATGGTTCAGCAGGTGAAGAATTTATATACCTATGAAATTCTCTTTGTCAGTAACTCTGGGTAAACTGTACAGGTGTTTTAAAAATAGTGAACATTCAAACAACTACATTTGGTATTTGCTAGGAAAGATGTGCTAATGAAACTTTAGAGTAGAAGTATCTGCTTCAGTGGGACTATACATTGTGTATAATTGGATCATATATTTTTCTCAACACAGATATAAACCGTGTATCATTTGGGTGTGTCTTATATGAGATTGACTGTCACTTGTACTGACATGACCTGGCCTATAAGGAGAGCACTCAATTCTTTTGTGTAAGCAAGTATTAGCAAGGAAAATATAAAGGATTATATAAGGGCAGATGGGTTTTTGACTGATGAATTGATGCAGCAAGGGAACATAGTGGTTGATGTGGTAATATACTGAAAGTAGTCCAGGACCCAGCATTACCATAAGAGAAGTGTTTATTCTCAGGAGAATGGTTTTGCTTGTATATATCAGAAGGAGAGAACTAAGCTTTAAAAAAAGATTCCCATCAATAAATAGCAAAGGACTTGCATTTCTGGATTTTGATGGGATTACTGTCAAAGATTAGTAGGATAGTATATAGGGGCTTAAGAGCTGCAAAAAGGGAGAGGGAAGAGCTCCTCACAAACTGGATTTCTCTTATGCCCTTACCACTTCGTCTCAAATCAGGTTGAAGTTGGTTGGCAAAACCAATAAGGTTGAAATGACAGCACCACCTTGTGTCTGATGAATTTCCCTTCCAATCTGTTTTCTGCCTTGAACATCCTCTCATTTCAGTGGTCTGGAGGTGTGACCAGGCAGGGCTTTATTTTTTAGTGTGGCATAATGTGTAGTTGGTTTAGTAAACCAACTACAGATTTTTAACTGAGCCTCATGGCTGAACCAAAGCAGGTCTCAATATTATCTTTCATTAGTTGCTAGGCCCTGACAGGCTATAATGGTTCATCCATTGAAACCAAGGGTGCCCAGCTTTTCCTGAATATGATTGTGCAAATACGTTGTGGATGTATGGACATGACAGTTATGATGCTTAGATTTGGAATCTGTCTGATCCGATTTATCTACAACAACCAGAAAGTCTGGCATGGGACTGCAGTGAAGAGAACTCTGAAACTGATGCAGCCTGAAGAAAATACTGCTATTGTATTTCATACTAACTGATGTTTCTGGGCTTTCTGTAAGATCAGTCCCATATATAGCACATTGCGCTAATCTATACAACTAGTTGCTAGAGCATAAACATAGAAATAGAGAGGCAGTGCCATATGCATATAGGTAAAACCAGGGATAAAATGGGCCTTTCAGAGCAAAAGAACAATGATTCCTTCCTACATATTCTTAAATCCCATCCCATACCTTTTCACATTGATTCCTGACTCTGACTTTGGCTTTCTTATATGGAAAATCAGCAGCAGTTGAGGAGGGTTGTGTGAGCCATGGGTGGACAGATAAACAGAGAGCAATAGCACTTAGACTTTTTGCAGCCCTCTCTAAGTGGTTCACAGAGTCATCACATTGCCCCCAACAATCTGGGTCCTCATTTTACTGACCTCAGAAGGATGGAAGGTTGAGTCATCCTTGATGGGGTAAGGATCAAATTCCTGGCAGTGGGAATGCAGAGTCATCCTGCACTACTGCATTCTAACCACTGCACCACAATGGCTCTTGATACACACAGATACACATACACACACAAACACAGGAAAAGCATGGTGGGAGGAATTTATGATGTTTTTTTCATATACATCTTCCAAAAATGCAAATTTTCTCTTATTATATAATATACTTCATAAAGCATGAAAAGGAAGAACAGATTATAATTACCTTAAATTGGCCTTCCCAAATCTGGTGGCCTCCAGGTGTATTGCATTGCTGCCCGTGAATTCTGAAGTTGCAACACCACCACATTTGGGCAGTTTCAAGTTGAGGAATATACCTTAAATCATGAATAAGTACTGTTTCTTCTGCCTAATAAATTGCTTTTCATTCTGAGCTCTTAATAGATATCTATTTATCTATCCAGTTATAAGATCCGTATTATGTTTATTCTCTCTCTCTCTCCCTCCCTCTCCCCCTCCCCCTCCCTCTCTCCCTCTCCCTCTCCCCCTCCCTCTCTCCCTCTCCCTCTCCCCCTCCCTCCCTCCCTCCCTCCCTCTCTCTCTCTCTCTCTCTCTCTCCTCACAAAAACTGAAGAATTCTTACTTTTTGCCCTAGGATTCTTCCAGACTAAGACCACCTCAGAGAGCGCTTCCAGCTAATCCAGTCTCTTCAAGCAAGAAGATGGGGTTGTCCAAAGTGAATACAGGAACAGTACCATCATATGGCACTGCAAGGAATACAGGAATTCATGCTGTCTTGGCAGAGGTGAGCTATAAAATGGTAACAAGGATATACAAATAAAAGATAAAGGAAAAAACAGCACTCGAGTGTTGTGTGACATTTTTCCTAATTTGAAATATTCAACTGGACACCTGATATCAATTTTTTTTTCTTGGACAGAAAGATAAGTTGATTTAAGAGAAGAGTAGTAAAGATATTAAGATAATTGTAGCATGATATTTTCCAGGGGTAGAAAAGTCTAAAACTAAAATTCACCAACAGCTGCAAAAAGCTTGAGACAGTGAAATGTCACTGGAAAATTCTCAAGGCTCCAGATAAGTCTTTCATGGAAGACTCTAGTCCAGGGGTCTTCAAACTTGGCCTTTTATGACTTGTGGACTTCAACTTCCAGAATTCCTCAGCCAGGCATGCTGGCTGAAGAATTCTGGGAGTTGAAGTCCACAAGTCATAAAAGGACCAAGTTTGAATACCCCTGCTTTAATCCTTGGAAGTCACACACACAAAAGATCTGCCTCAATTGGCTTCACGAAAAGTATTAAACCCTGAATTAAAAGGTGAAAACAACACATTGAATTTGGCCCAGGAATGACGGGGAAGGAACAGAGTCACGGATCTCCTGGGAGATGATGTGTGATTAGGTCCAGGAAGTGGGAAATGCATCTCTGAAGATGGTTCTAATGGTTCCCCTGGCTCTTAAAGAGGCAGTGGTTTGTCCCCTCAAGTAGCCCTGCCTGAATCCAGTGGTACTGGCAATTTTTGTCTGGTTTCCAATTCTTCAATTTAGGGAAGGTTGAAGGAAAATTATCAATTTACAGCTCCTGTAGGCCAGCATGTTGGTTGAAGATATGAATATGTGTATACTTTGTATGCGGATTAAACCAATGTTGTTGACTGGGAACTCATATGATTTGTGGTAAATGCCCAGCTGATAGAATGAGGAACAGGGATCTTAAAATTACTGTATCAAAGCTCAAGGTAGTTGTATTTTGGGAAGGAAATTGAGTGAATTATTGCAATGTGTACCTTGATGGTCAGCAGTTAGTGCAAGTAGGTACATTTGTGTACTTGGGTAGAAAGTTTACTAAATAAGGGAATATGCTGAAATTTGGAGAATGCAAATCCTGACAGAAACCTAGTGGGTAAATAGGTAGTCTAACAGAATATTGTTGGAAGGGACCTTGAAGGTCCAATCCCCTGCTGAAGCAGGAAACCCTATGTCATTTCAGACAAATGGTTGTCCAATCTCTTCTTAAAAACCTCCAATATTGGAGTAGCCACAATTTCTGAAAGCGAACAGTTCTAGTTAATTGTTCTGTTAAGAAATTTCTCCTTAGTTTTAGGTTGCTTCTCTCCCTGATTAGTTTCCATCCGTTGCTTCTTGTTCTGCCTTCAGGTGCTTCAGAGAATAGGTTGACCCCCTCTTCTTTGTGGCAAAGATGGCTAGAGCCTGCTTCACCCACTTTATAATATGGAAGTGAGACTTTAAAGTGTTAGGAAAAATTAGAAGTCAGCCGAATGACGTGGAGAATGGATGATTTAACTTGCAGGATAAAAAAGAAGAGAGTCAACAATGAACAGGTGATGATTGAGTGGAGATCAAAAACAAAATTGAGTCTTCAGTATAAACATTTGAGTGGGGATGTGTAGAAAGTATAAATGGCTGAAGAATAAAGAGTATACCAAGAAAATTATAGCTGGATGAAGTTGATGTGATCTTTAAAAGGAGAGAGGTGAATTTGAGAGAATAAATGGCAATATGTGAAATTGTGTATGGATGTAGAAACAAGAAAAGTTGCAAAGCTGGAGAGCTACTGAATAGTTGCTGTAAATTCATTCCATTCAGATTCTTCATTAACTAAGAACAGCAACATATTTTTATAGTCAATGATCAGTGCAAACATGAAGTAAATTAGAGAAAGCATTTTAGATTGAGATACAATGCATATTTAGTAGCCATTCTATTTTATTACATTCAGCAGAGCTATGTGGATCAGACCATAATTCACTTATGGAAAGAAATGATGTGTCATTTAAAATGTTTGCATGTTGGAAATCTCCATTGTTCCACCTAAATGCAAATATACCTCTAAGTCAGGGGTCTTCAAACTTGGCCCTTTTATGACTTGTGGACTTCAACTCCCAGAATTTCTCAGCCAGGAAAACCCCTGCGCTAGTTTCTTCTATCTGAGACAAAACAATACTAAAATTCTTTTATCTTTTCTAGAATCGAGCCATGAGAAATCCTGGAGCAGCACATACTCTGAAGTTTAGAAACTGAATTTTGTCCTACGGTTCTAAAATCTACATCAATTCCATTTGGTTTCACCTGCAATTTTCAAGGGCTGTGTTTCATTTTGTACAAATCTCAGGCCTAAAGTAACTGAGGCCAATTTCAGAGCAATCTTTAGGAAAGGACCCCATATTTTGTGGCATGGGCTGATGCAATTCTCTAGAAAAGGTCTAGCGATCTCCCAGTACATACCAAGGACCTTTCTCCATTAAATTTGTTTATTTAAATTCACATACAGAGAGAAGCAGAGGACCTAATTACTCCTGTAATTTGTTGTTTCAACAATAGACAGATTGAATAATCAACATTGCATAATGGAGCCAATACATCTATCTGTGAACAACTTCGGGAACAAAATCTGAAGTCCTTTGAAGAAGAGGGAAATGTGATGCCCCAACAGCATCTCATGCTGGTGAAAGATCCTCCCAAACTACTTTAGATCATATAGAAGAGTTTCCTAATTTGAAGGATTTTGCTGTATATGCATTTAAGAGAAGAATTTTCTTTCCCTTTAAGGAATCTTCTACTTACATATATGTAACCTCTTATAGTCTTCTATGGAGACAGCTGTCAGTCCAAAGTTTTTTCAGTCCATAGTTTTTCAGAATTTAGAAATTTTAGCAATGTAAGTGCAGTGAGTTCATATTTTGCCTTGAACTTCCACGGTCCTCTGAGGTATACTCAGGTCTACTTGCCTTGAAATTGTTTAACAAGTACTGACCAGCTATGCAGGTGTGTTTTTGTGATGGCAAATATTTCCCTTCAGCCTGGATGGTCTTGGTATTATTTCTTCTCAGCTGTATTTGCTTCAGGTCTTATGCAGTGATGGGATTCAGCCAGTTTGCACCACTTCGGCAGGACCAAAGTAGCTAATTTTTTGTTGCCCAGGTCCAGAATGGACTTCCGGAAGTGGCATCCACACAGAGAAGTGGTTGTTCACATATTTGAATCCCATCACTGATCGTATGTATCTCTGAAATGCAACTTTGGTAAGTGATTGCTGAGTTTTCCTCAAGTGTTATATGAGGAAATTCCAACAGAAAGTGAAGAATGGAGAGATGCTTCCATTATGATACCCTTCTCTAGTCCAAAAGAAAATATGTTGAAGTGAGTTCATAAACTTTTTATATGAAGAGAAAAGTAGGACCTTTTAGAGGGGACTAGAATAGAGAAGAAAATGACAAAAATTAGGTTGGACTGTATCATGCATGGGGCAGGGGCAGGATTTTTTTTCTGTTTTTTTTTTTTTGTTTGTTTGGTGAAGTAGGGTAGGTTTTTAAAGTTGTATTATGCCTATTTTAGGTAACTTTAGAGTTTATTTATTGTCTGTCTTGAAATGACAGGAACCAACAATTTGCGGTACAGTTGGAGAAGGTGCAAAAAAGAGACTTTTTAAAATTCTTTTGCTCTGAGGGATGTGGCAAACCCTTGTCCCAATACCCCATGGTGTGCTGGCTTCTCCTGGCTCACAAGAGCCAATTGTTAAATTTTCTTGAATTTTGTGAGCTGATTGAGAACAGAACTCTGAGCTACAATGCCTAGCACACTGATCACCATTTATCAGCACATCACTACCCATATTTTACGTACCGGGAGATCCTCATGGATTTTGCTGCATGGACTTTACTTTCATGAGGACAAAAAAGGATGAGAGATATTATCCAGGGTCCACACAGTGTTTTTGTCATTGCTGCCCCTCAATTAATATTACCAAGACACTCTACTTAAGGTAGTTTTTTAAAAATGTATTTATCTTTCATATAGACTGAGATTATTCACTTAAAACATTTCAAAACTGTCCTTAATGTAACTAGTAACTTTTTATACTTTCCAATTTGGCACTGGCATAAAGAATACAGCAAATTTATAATAAGAACAAAGTCATCAGATAAGGTACCACAGTAACCTTTATAACACCATTATTATGGGGAATTTCCTGATTAAAATGCAATTAGAACTAATTATAAATGTCCTGTTGATCAGTGTTTTCCTGCCATGTTACTTTACTCATCCAACATTCAAAGTTTTATAAGTTTCTCATTCCAATTCATTTGAGGATACCTAATTATCCAGCTTAATTAGATATCCACCACAGTTCACGAAGCTCAAAATAGGCTTTTTGATTCATGGTGCTAGTTGGGCAGTTGATAAAAGTCTATTATTTGTCTATCTGTGTTCTACAAGTTGTTTTTGCACTGTAAACAACCATGAATCCTAGTGATACAATTGTAACACTGAGGCATATACGAAGCTTCACAAATGTTCTCAGGTTTTAAGTGGTGCTTCTTTTATCCTGTGGAAAATTTTTTCAGTTTGCTTTGCAATATGTTGGTGCTAAAGAAATGATGTTTGGTTTCTGATGACGTAAAATTACCATGGTTAGTCTAGGTAATATAGAGGGACAATGCATATGTGTTAGTGCACTACCCATTTTTTTCTGTTTTTAAAACTTATTCTAGTTTTAACTATAAGTATCTGAATTGTGACAGAGTGAATATAATCCAGTTACCCTACATGCTAGTTCAAGAGTCCATGCAGATATCTAAAATTATGTTCCTGAAAATATTATTTCAAGCTGGGCATGTCAAATAGTATTTTAATTGCATACCTAAAATTGCCAGAATACAAAGTAATATTGTTATGTTTAGGTTTCATACTAAATATTTGTAGCCACAAGAAGAGCAAATATTTCCCATGATCTTTCTCTGGTGCTCATTACTTCTTAGCAAAACTACAGTTATTTGTAGTATGAATAAAGAGTTTTCTAGTCCCTTTACATGTATATTTAATTTCTTCTGAATGAAGGAGTGTATTTGTAGAAATGTGCATGGAATAGAAAACATGTTGCAGTTTTTGCTCAAAACAAAATAGCTCTCCTTAATACATACTATCAAAACACTTCTGCTTAACCGTGTTGTGCTAGAACATAGTTTGAAAAGTTTCATTCTGTTGGACAAAGCTTGAAACTGTTAAAAGTATTCTGATCATAGGATTTAGTGGGAACTCTAGATTAACTTGTTTTTTCTTATTTTTCATGCCAGAGCTACAAAAGTTTATAGATTAACATTTCGTGCCAAGTTTTTATGTGGAAAATTTGATCAAGTAAAAACTAACACCCCCCCTCCCTCGCCATGTTTTGAAAAACATTAAATCCGGACAGGAAACAAGAACAGAGTTGTGCTCTAACCATGTATTCTTTTCTCTGTACAACCCACATCTGCTTATTCGGTATGAACAATAACAACAAGAGCCTCACTTAATCCTTGCTTTCTACCGGTATGCTGAAAAAGTGTGAGAAAAAGGAACCTAGTGATAAGCCCCAAAGCAATAGCCCAGCTGCAATTCTCAGAACAGGTAAAACGCCGAAAATGACTCCAAAGCTATGCACAAAATTTCACACTCAGAAGCAACTGCTGTGTTTTGCTCAAACGTCAGAACCAGACTCTTGAACCAAATGACTCTTTTGTTCCATGTTTGCAGTAGCTGAAATGATCATTTTTAAAACCAAAGTATTTTGTGCATTCCTAGGTGTATGTTTCAAACCCACACCAATCTAGCAACTCCTTTACAATAGGAAAGTATCTAGATCAGGGGTCTTCAAACTTGGCCCTTTTATGACTTGTGGACTTCACTTCCAGAATTCCCCAGCCGCTGGCTGAGGAATTCTGGGAGTGAAGTCCACAAGTCATAAAAGGGCCAAGTTTGAAAACCCCTGATCTAGAAAGTACATTTGTCACACAGAGTTATTATTGGCCCTTTGAAGATGATACATTTTCAATATTATCATTATGTTATTCAAAATTACAGCTGCAGGACTTGAAGCCTTGCTGTAGCCATATCACCCAGGAGACAATGACAAACCTTTAATGAAATGCAAACACATCCTATATTCCCAGTCTTGCATAGTCTGAAAATCTGTTTCCAAAACCTTGCAGAATCCTATTTAAAAAATCCTTTACTGAGGGCCATGGCAAGTGAAGACCTCCCAAAAATCATATTCTTAATTTAGCACTGTTTTGAGTAAATATGCACAATCCTGCCGTTTCTTCCACTAACCTTTATTTGGCCTATTTCATATTGCTTCAAGGTGGCTATATTTCCAAGAATATTATACAGCCAAAAGGATATCTTTTAAATCAGATTACTACTTCTTAAAAGAGTGACTCCCTCATAAGTTCTAAAATTAGCATCCTGCTCCCTTCTCACTGGTGCACGGATACACCTGTGTGTTCTCCCTCTACCTCTTGTGGATAACAGAAATTTCCTTGTGTGATATAGTTAATGCACTATGGAAGGAATTTTGGTACATCTCCTAACTATGTTCTAGAGGAGCCTTTTCAGATGCAAGAAATGACAGTCTTAACTATATAGTATACGCCTTAATACTGATAATACTTCACCTAATTCTGTTTTTTCGTATGCATGGGAGAAAAGTGCTACATGTGGCTACAGCTCAATACCTATTGAATCAGATTGTACTCCTAAAATCCTATGGAGCTTATTTCCAAGTTTAATAAACACTAGAGCTGTGCAGTACTTTGGATTCAAAGGCAAAAGGCAAGATCAGGGTTCACCAAATTGGAGGGGGTGGGGGGGAAAAGTCAAACATGGAACATTTTCTAAGCCATGCATTATCTGCAGATGATAACAGGAAATGCATGATCACAGGAATATATATATATATTTGATTAAATGAGTTGCAAAGTGATCTTTTTTGCCTTTATAACTGAAACACCATACAATCCTATACTGCACTATTACCATTTTCTCACATATTTTGGAGCTTTTTTACCATGTTTCACCACTTTGTTTTGGAGTTTACGGTATGATTTTTGTGTACTTATATAAATTGTTCATCTATACAAATACTTGAATAATGCAGCTTGTTGTGCCTTTTGCCTAGATATACTGAATAAATTTTGCAATTGCTATTTGTATACTTACTTGTTATAAATTGTTGTATGGGGATTGATACTATTAAAGAGGTAGAGGATACTACATATGCTGTTCTTTAAACCAATCGTCCTCATAGCTGGAGAACTAGAAAAGACAATTTTCTTCCATTTGAATTCAATCCTGCAGAAAATGTGGATTTACCTATGTAGTTTCCTTGCACACAACAAAATATGAGTCCTGGTGAATCAGGCCACAGGCCCACCTAATCAAGCATTTTGTACTACACAGTGGCCAACTAGATGAAACTCAAAAGTTTAGAGTAGAACAACATACCCCTTCTACTGACCCTTCCCAGGAAATCAATAAGGCTTTTTGCCTATGATTCAGGAGGTACTTTAACAGTCATCAGTACAGAAGTGGTTTGTCACTGTTTTCTTCAAAGATGATTTCTGAGTTTTGAGGATCAACTAAAGTTGGCTAGCTTTGTGCTGCTTTTCCCCTGATAATATTTAACTTTTATTTTTAAACCCTATGGCCATCAGATCTGTTAGATTGAAATATGGTTTTTTTTTCTCCTTTTGTTTGCAGATCATTCAGAGAGTAAATCTCAGATACAGGAGATTTTCTCCAAATGTGATACCTTTTAGGAATATTGGATTGCAACTCTCCTTGTCCCATAAAACAAAGTTAATTTGGGGAAAGATGGTAGGGGGACAATAGAAACTAGGAAATGAAACAGCTTTGGAAGTTCATAAAAACGATATGTTCTTCCACATGAAATAAATGAGTTGTGCTAAACTCTTATGAAAGAAACAAGAACAAATTTCAGTCATTTATAAAGCCATTTGCAAAACTCAATTACAGTATACAATTATCTAATTGTAAAATACATTCATTAGCAACAAAGATCTCAAAAGTTTTACAAGATTTGCTTGATACAGTTTTATTTTTTGTAGTTTTGGAAAAAGTAGTACCTGTGATACAAACCTTCACTGTAATGAAAACCAAGCCAGAGTGACTGGGTTTATACATTCTAAACAAAATCTACATTGTGACTTAGCATAAGGAATAGACACAAAAAGCTGTTTTCTAATGCCAGCAGGGCACAACAGCCCTTAGTACCAGATCATTACATCTAACCATCCAGAAAGCTTCAAATATATCATTTTTCAATTCCCAAAGTCAATGTAGGACCTTAATTTAAAAAAATTGAAGTACATTATTTTTAACTTACTATTCACCCATCCACCCATCCATCTACAGGTGCAAAAGCAAAGAAACAATATTTTGCACTGGAAATAAAGTAGCAAATACAAGTATAGAAGAGAATGATTACTTATATAAAGTGAAACTGCAAATAGGGGAGATTTGGGAGGGGTTAGATTTTTTTTTATCCCACTTTTATTATTATTTTTTATAAATAAGGTGATGGACATACCCAATACAGGTAGTCCTTGATTTAGCACCACAATTGAGCCCAAAATTTCCACTGCTAAGAGAGACAATTTTTAGTGAGTTGCCCCATTTTATGATCTTTCTTGTCACTGTTGTTAAGTGAATCATTGCATTTATTAAGTTAGTAACACAGTGGTTAAATCTGTTTCCCCTATTGACTTTGCTTGTCAGAAGATCACCAAAGATGATCACATGACCCTAGAACACTGCAACCATCATAAATACATGTGTTTGAATTTTGATCACATGACCATGGGGATGCTGCAACAGTTGTGTGAAAAATGGTCATAACTCAGTGCCGCTGTAACACTGAATGGTCACTAAGCAAATGGTTTAAGTTGAGGACTTCTTGTATTCCTTCCTCTTATTTTGCCCACAATCTGTGAGGTGTTGGGCTAAGAGAGAGTAACTCAGTGGTGGCGAGCCTATGGCACACGTGCCAGAGGCGGCACTCAGAGCCCTCTCTTTGGGCACGCGTGCCGTATCCCGGACATGGTGAGGGACTGGCCCCCACCGCCCTGGCCCTGCCCACCCAGTCTGCCGTGACCACCACAGCCACGCCCACCCAGCACCCAGTGATAAATAAGTGAGTTTTGGGTTGCAGTTTGGGCACTGGGTCTCTAAAAGGTTCGCCATCACTGGAGTAATTGGTCCAAAGCCACCCAGCCAGCTTTCAAACTGGAAACAGAAGGGCAATCCTTTGTAAGGCATGTTTGTGCTACACAGTTAGAATTTTTTTTAAAATTTTACAAAAAATAGGTAATAGAAAACTTTTTTTTTGGTTTAGCATTTTCATATAACCATCCCATGAATTATACATACCGTAAATGCCGGCGTATAAGGCGACTTCTGCGAGCGCTGAAATCGGCGCCAAAGACGGGGGTTGTCTTATACGCCGAGTCGTCTTATACGCCAGAAATACTGGTAGTTTCCGGCGTATAAGACGACGTTCTAGGAATGCGGCCCAGCTATAAAAACGGGGGTCGTCTTATACGCCGGGTCGCCTTGTACGCCGGCATTTACGGTAGATGGAACTCTTCCAATAAACCTTATGATGGTATGCCTCTTAAAAGTTACATGTGCTCTAGAGTGTGATCCCTGCAGTTGTGTCTACTGCATTACAAAATAAGTCTTCTTTTAAAATGAGAACTACATTCTGCTGTTGACCAATAGCATAGCACAAATAACTATATAAGAGCTTGTTTACAAGTCAGAATAGGCCCATTAATTTAGAAGCACAGAGAGAAGACTGAAAACAGCCTGAAATATTTATCTAGAAGCCTTTTGTAATGAAGTGTTCCTTCAAACTTAACAAAATTAAGTTTGTTAATTTTGTACTTGATGCAACCCATAGTTAGCTCATAACCAGTCTTGTCTTATGTGAATCTTCACAAGCACAGACAATTGTAACATTTTAGAATATCTTGGTCATCCAGGCTAAAAAGACTTTCATTAACCAATAAAATAGCATAATATGGGTGGCTAGTGATAATTATCATAGGCAGTTGAGCCTCTAACTCAATCACTTGTTATCACTAATTAAATCTTATTAACTTTTGACAGTTTTGAGCCCAGTTTACACTTTCTGTGATCATAACTGAGTTCTAAACTATAGAAATTATTTGGCTATAAAGCACATACATTTTCCCCCAAATATCTACAAAATATCATTTTCTATGGGGACAAGAACAAAGCATTATCACAATTAAATTATAATTCATATTTATGGAAAATGAAAGATAATTGCTGCTATATCTGAACATCTAATAGTATCAGTAAAATTAATTAAAATAGTGGAAGCACCAAAATATCTTAAAATCCAATATCCAAGAAAAAGGCTGTAGGGCATTTTTTTTTTTTTTTTTTTTTTTGAGACTGCACCATTCATTTAAGAATAAGGACATGACTGAAGGTGCTGAATGTCTTGGACAACATTACAATCTGGAGGGAAATGTAGCTATTTATTTTACCATATTTTCAAAAACGACTTGGGTATTCCTAGCTGGAAAAAAATACACATGCTTTCTTTTGAAGCTTCAAACTCTTCACACACTTCAAACAGTGAATATAGCTTTTCCTTGTGAAGATAGGAGAAAAGTGAAAATGATCTGGAAGAAACAATGCCACTTGACAGTAGAATATTTCTTCCAAATGCACAGGGAATATGCCCATGTTTGATGCAAATACAATCACCACTGCTATTGATTCTAGAGTGTGCAAAATACAGTGCCATTGCCAAGGATGAAAAGAAGAGAATCACTATGCAGAAATGTGGAGGTAGCAAGCTGTGTTGAAGGTGGTTGCTATTTTCCAAAGGCACATGTGGTGATGCTTCATTTAAATTCTTCCAGATGCATGCATGTTTTTATGCTGTTTGGCCCAAATACTCAAAGAAATAGAAATATTAAATTAGGTTTCAACTGAAGATCATAAATACTTTGGATTTGTTATGATCCTTGGTGTCTGGATTATCCAATTCTATTAAAGTGTTCTTGTCATCCTTAATTGCTTGCGGTTCTTTAGAAGTCTGGATTGTTTGTGGCAGATTCTTCAAACTGACATCCATATCCTTGAAAGCATGGAGTAAAAACACTCCTAGAATAATGGTAAGAAATCCACATACCGTCCCGATAATGTCTAGTACAGACATAGTGACCCACTCCTTAAAGAGGATAACTGAAGTTGTGATGACAATAGTGGTGAAGAGCACATAGTAAATGGGAAATACCATAGAGGTATTGAAGATGTCCAGAGCTTTATTGAGGTAGTTGATCTGAGTAGTAATAGAAGCCACTAACGTGAAGACAAGAATCCAGGTCAATGGGTTTTGTAGAACAGTCTGGTGAGTGAAAAAACTCTTGATGGCAATGCCCAGCCCTTTGACAGATGAGACGGAGAAAGCCCCAATCACAGAACAGATGGAGAGGTAGATGAGAATATTGGTCCTGCCATAACGTGGTGCTAGGAAACAAATCAGGACTAAGCTGATAATCAAGAGGATACTGGCATAAACAAGAAAACCTGGAAGAAATTAAAAAACAAAAAAGTGACAAATCATGACATTTCTATACAAGACAGAATGCAATGCTTAGCATAAGTACTGGCTAGTACAATAAATTGATGGGTAGAACAACACAGCACTGCATTATTTTAGGAACTTAAATAAATCAATAAGTTTATTGTAAGGGATGGGCATCCTCCTACACATGCAAGAACAAGATTTAAGTCTACAGAAAAACAAAGTTTTTAAGGACACAACCCTATGGCCCTAGAAAACCTTGGAGAAGAGAAATCTAGGAGACAGATGTGAATATCTATGATGTCTTGCTGGCTGCAGACCACTAGATTGGGGAATTACTGAAATATTTCAATTATTAAATTGGGGGCTACTTTGCAATTGATCATACAGCTCTAAGGATAAGGTTATTTTGTCTGAAAGGCTGTACATCAAAAGCAGTTCCCTGTATCTCATCTCGAAGTCCAATTTTTTTTAATTGAAATTTATATCAATTCAAAATGAAATGTAAAAAAAAAATTGACAACAGGACATGAGAGTTTCATTAAAGATTTTCTCCCTGGAAAGAGAAGCAAGACAATTGGCACAGTCCATGGGATGCCACCAAACATAAATGTATACAAAATCATGGCAACTTCAGGGAAGAGTCACCCTTGTGCAAGACATTTTTACAACCATCACTTTACTGCCCCTGGGAATCTGGTTCAGATATGAAAACATTCGAACTAAACACAACACCTTCATTCCTTTGCTGCTTTAGTTCAAAAGCTTACCTGGTTCCTTCAGTTTTGAAAACAATTCTCCCAAAGTGGTTATTTCCTCTTCTTCAGGAGCATGTATCACAAGAACAGTACTACCCACAATGCTCAGCATGCAGCCAAGTTTGCCCAGTAAGTTCAGCCGTTCTCCAAGCAAATAAGAGGACAAAATGGCACTGGGCACAACAGACAAATACAGAAACACAGCCTTTATTTTTCCTGTTACACTTGTAAGTTACTAATAAAAAACAAAAGAGTCCTTACAAAACTGTACTCTTATTAACTGACGTAAATTAAAGTCACTGAAACACAAAACTAATATGCAAGGTCAATTACAGAGAGGGAAAAAAACCAGAACTTAAGTACATACCTGGCTATTGGTATATTAGTACAAGATTAGAAATCTTTTTTTCTACTGGCAAGCCAGATTGCATTATTAGTACCTAGACCTAGAATAAATATGGGATAAAAGAGCAAATTGGAAGATAGTCACCTTATAAGCACACTAAGTGCTCCGAGTGGTGTAACAATTGTTGCAGCTGCAAAGGCATATGCGGCAAAGTTGGCAGCCTCTCCTCCACCCACTGAGCAAATAGCCACCAGGAAACAAAAAAAGAATAGGTGAATTACAATTATTACTATTTAGGTTCTCACTGACCAGCAACTCTTGTTTCCACTCAGTTTCATACAATTTGTCCTTCGAAGAAAATATTAAAGCTTAGGAACTCTAAGCAAAAAGTTATCTGTCCAGATAGGCCTCGGCTTAATTAATACCTTTATTATGGTATATATTTTATGTGGACTGGAGTTACCTGCAAATATTTCCTGCATTCCAGTCCACCAAAGCTCATACCACTATAAATTTGTCAGTTGCTGAAGGTGCTACAAGGCATATTGCTAGCTCTAACCAGCAAATGTCTCTTCTGAAAACTGAATCATTTAAATTCCTGAACATTCCTATGTTATGGTGATAAGATCTGAAAAATAATTTCCACAGGCTTCAGCGTAACTGCTCAGCCAAAGAGCGCTTTAAGCGAAAAAAAATCTTTAAGGCATTCAAACATAAACTCCTTCAAGTACAAAAAGGCCAAACAAAGTTGTAGAAACAACGTTCGTTAACTGCAAGATGTGAAATAATCTTTCCAGCTCAGGGAAACACAGAGGGATTAAGTCCTCAATAATCATCAAGGTTAAATATTTTATCAGATACCAACCCAGGCCTGGGTAAATAATCCTACTTACTGGTTACCAAACCAGCCCACCATAGCCAGTCCCTTAGATAGCCGTGACCTCCATCTCCTGGGGAAATAAAAGGACATATATAGAGAAGCATTTTGTAAAAAGGTTCCATATAAAATAAAATCAATTTCAAACAGAATGCTACAGTAGCTAAACATAAAAGAGAGAAAGAAACAACAGCTTCAACTGACAAAACGACAGTTGTGCAAGCCACAACATACATATGTTCAATGACTTTTCAATGCCTTTCAGAAAGAAAAGGAAATACTACCAGAACTGGCAGGCCCTTAAAATCCCATCCTCCCCCACACATGCACACCCCTCTTGCGTGCATGGACTGGACACTCACAGCTTAACATTTCTGAAATTAACTGCCACAACCTTAAGCTCCGACTTGAACATTTCACCATATGACATAGTGTACATTGTTACAGACTTGTTTTTCAACATTTTCTCCAGAAATATCATACTAGAAAAAGTATTGTTGCTCTAGGAAGCAGGACTGGATTATTAGTCCATTTGCAGCTGTTCTGTGAATACTACTAGTAGCACCTCTAGTGTATTTAAAATGGCAAACAGGATGAATTCAATGTGATACCTGAAGGGGTCTTCAGAAGCCAGAATGTATTAATAACTTCTCCAACCTGGAAGGTGACCATTGTGTTTTCTCACAACCATTATTTCCAGTCAGCATACCCTTGATTATTCTGGCTCTGAATTTTTATGAGAATTGAATTCCAATACAACAATGCTTCGAGAAATCTGGCTTAAATGTCACTAGAGTTCTTTTTCAGAAAACAGATGTTTTTCTATTCCCCCCTCTTAAGTCAACAAATCCATACCAGCCCTGGTGCCTCCTTTCTCCACCAGTCGACGCAGTCCTTTCTTCTTGAGGATGACACTGGTGCCAATGAGAAAGCTTGAAAAGATGGCCAAGGCCAAGCCAATGTAAAACCCATATTTTTCTTCAACTTGTACCATCCAGTTGGAGCTTAAATTAAGATTCGTATGGGGTGAAACTGGAGAACTGACATTCTTAATGATTTGACAAACAGCATGATGATTCAGACAAGCCAGAGTGATCAGGGAGCCTAGTAAGACAAGCGGGAAAAGATAAGATTAGAAATTAAGACATTAATAACTAGCAGCCCTTTTGTCTTTAATTCTGCATGTAACCAGATTATTATTGCTAGAAAACTTTTTTTTTCTTTGAATTCTTGCCCCATGAATTGACATTTAATTAGCAAAACTATGAGGTTAGTTCTTAGCAAAACTATGAGGTTAAAAATATATATTCTAAATCTATGCAAGGTGAAGAATTGAGAAATAATGGCACCCAGATGCCTTAAAACACAACCTTATAATAACCCACAATCTGGAGGTATTTTTCTTGGACTGTAAATATTTTCAAGGCTTATTTCAATCTTGAAATTCATTTTAGAGTAAACAATAATTTGGAAACCTACTGCTTCCTTGGTTTTTTAATTACATATTTCTAAGACTATGACATTATTGCTGCAAACCATTGTCCTTCTAATGCGTGTTTTCACATTTGCCTTGCTCTGCAATAAATTACTATTTGCAAGTTGCCTTTGACCATTTCCACTTTTAAAAAGAATTATTAATCCTGAGATAATCTACAAGAACCTTCAAATTATACACACCAATTTAGTAAATATTCAGTGAACTATTCCAGTGTTTCCCCAAGGAAAAGCTTTGTCTCCATTTTATTAGATGGAAATAATGAGAAGGTAATATTTTTTCACAAGTTCTGTCTCTCTATTCTCTATGCTAAATTGCAGTGGTGTGATTGTCAGAAAATACCGGGGGTGGGGGGGGGGGGGAATTGAAGGTTTTCAACCTCCATCTTCATCAGCTGCTCTGTATGAAAAAAAAATGTAAATGTGGACTTGTGAAAATTTAATTGAGGGAGCAATGAAACATTACCTAGCATTGGTGCAAGGAATGGTTTGTGCATGTTGAGTATCATTATTTTAAAAACTTAATTTTATTACATTTATACTTTTGTTTCAAGAGCTAAATATTTCTTCTCAACTATCCTATCTTCAGAGCAGCCTGGGAAACAGGAACTCATCTGAAACAGGAACTCATCTGAAATGAATTTATGTATGGAGAATGAAGGTGGATTTTCTAACCTTTCTCAGGGTACAATAAGCTTTGAACCTTTCCCCTTTCTCTTCAGGTCTGAATGTGAGTCACCTGTGAGAGTGAATATGGATATGTACACTGTACAAGAATGACAAACTATTTAGATTTCCTCCTGCTATGTAATTCATGCCGTAATTCTGGCATTCAAACAAAACTTCAGCTGAAGTTTTATCCAGAATGGAGAACAATCAATTGAGAAAGATGAAACTGCTGAGGATTGGGTTTTTTTAGCACGTAAACATCAAATGACAAAATGTGACTATTACAAGAAAAGCATGAGAATCCATACAGGTCATCATGAAGGGAATATTTCAAAAGCACAAAGTCTTTGTCTGCAAAATAAATTCCAGAAATTCCAATTTAAGAAAAGTGAATATTTAATAATTAATATATTCCATTATTTAACATCTTATTTCAATCAGCTTGCTGCTTACATTTTCTAATAATCATTTACTTTCCTTTGTAGAAAGTAGGACTTTGTTATATTCACAACTCATCTCTTTCATGTAATGACTCCTTTTGTGCCTAAGACAACACCACTTTCTGAAAGACTGATCCACCAATGGGCTTTGTGATCCCAAGCCTAGTCCAACAGTCTAGAACTACTTTGTATAAAGAGGTATAAATATAATTAGAAAATTAACAAATACAGGTAAAGGACTGTTAAGAAATAAAGTACTGAATTTTATTAATAACAAAATACTGTTCAAGCTGGCTTATACATCTGTAATATTATTCTTATTTAACAAGGAAGAAATAAGAAAAAAACACATTTTTAATTAGGGCACTAAAGAATTCTGTGACATAGTCAAACATAGATTCCTTACAAAATCTGAAAAAGGAAACAAAACTCCTTGTACTTGTGTCCTGGATACTTTTTAATTAACATATATTGTATTGGTTCTATATTTGTAGCTCTAGCCATCTTGTAACTAGTCCATTGTTTGGATTTAAATGCGTTAAAGATGATTTCAATTGAATCTCTTTTTTAATTTAAATAATTTTTAAATGAATAAATATTTCTGTGGGGTACTTCATTTGTTCTTTGATAGCTCTAATAATACTAATGAAGCACCCCACAGAAATATTTATTCATTAAAAATATGTTAATTAAGAAGTATAAAGGACACAAGTACTATTTCTAAAATCCTCCTTTGTTCCCTTTTCTGTCTTTTCTTTTTCATTATAACATACAAGGTTTCAGATTTGATGGGATTATATTTTTGTGAACTCCTCTTAAAAATTAACTAATTGAGCCAAAGCCATGCTATAATTTAAAGAAAAGCATCTGAAAAAGAGAAGAGCATAAATTTTTGGAAACAGCTATAGCACACTGTCTTTCAAGATAAAAATAGAAAATTTTATATCACTAAACGTATCTTAATTTATGAAACAGAAAATGATACATGCTGCAATTTAACACTGAGATGGGAAACTGATACATCCTCAGTTTCCAGATTTCAAACAAATCATGTCTATCATAAGCATCAAACACTGGAAGTTTTTAAGAAGAGACTGGACAACCATTTGTCTGAAGTGGGATAGAGTTTCCTGCCTAAGCAGCAGTTGAACCAGAAGACTTCCAAACTTCCTCCCAACTCTGTTATTCTATTCTATTCTATTCTATTCTATTCTATTCTATTCTATTCTATTCTATTCTATTCTATTCTATTCTTTTTTGTGAATGTTTATGTTTAATAAATTTATTATAACTTTGGATATAAAGAACTGATATTTGTACTTTTGAAAAAAATAACCTTGTTTATTTCAAATGTGGCACTTTAATGTGCAGCTCCACTAAGCTCTGGATTAAGTTGCACATACTTCCAAGTGATTTGGAATTAACAGTTCAGAAAAAAAAGAGAAAAGAAATCAAGCTGATTCATTAAGGCAGCCAAACCCTTAATACTGTTTTTAAAAGCAGCCATGTTCTTTTCCAAAGCGTTTCTTCTGAATGAATGTCAAAACCTGCCCAGCCGTATTCTATAGTTTCTATCCCATACTTTGGGGAATAGATACATATTCCAAAGACAGTCCACAATATTGAAATATCTAATTGTTTGTACATACCACAGTAATTGCCTAGGCCAGGGGTAGGCAACCTTGGCTCTTTTATGACTCGTGGACTTCAACTCCCAGAATTCCTGAGCCAGCATGGCTCAGCTTGGAAACCTCTCCCTTTCCCCTCAGCATGGCTGGCTCAGGAATTCTGGGAGTTGAAGTCCACGAGTCATAAAAGAGCCAAGGTTGCCTACCCCTGGCCTAGGCCAAGAGCTTCCTGCTCTAGAAGAATACAGGAGTGTCACCATTATACTGTACCTTATCTATCATTGCCTAAACCAGGCATGTCAAACTTGCGATGTCACGTGATGTCGCACGACGTATCACGACTTTTCCCCCATTGCCGGCAAGGGGTTAAGCACGGTTTTGGAGTGACACATCCGGCCCCGAGCCGGCAGTTTGACATGCATGGCCTAAACCAGTGTTTCCCAAACTTGACAATTTTAAGGCATGTGGACTTCAACTCCCAGCGTTGCTGGCTGTGGAATTCTGGGAGTTGAAGTCCTCATGCCTTAAAATTGTCAAGTTTGGGAAACACTGGCCTAAACTATGGATCCATGTCTAACTTAAGACAGCTTCTACTGAACTATCAGAAACAAAGACTGAGGCAGATTGTTCTTTAGAATTGTCACTTGTTAGGACTCCCTCCCCAAAAATCTGCCTTCATATATATAACAAAATTGCATAAACTATCATAAAGAATTTCTCACGAGATGCACATTCTTAATGTTAATTTATGTTCTTAATGAAGAAATGAAGTATAGTGGGTAAACACAATCTAGGAAGGTTAACAGTTTCATCAAAGCTTTCCAAGTGGACCTTCCCAGAAAAAAGGATTTTTTTTTTCAATCCAAGTATGTAATGGATTTTTTCTCATATAATATACTATATGTAGCCTTTTCTGTTTCCTCACCCATCATAACCCTCTTCCCAGCCATCAAGGTGTTTGTGATCATTTTTAAAGCCCTTCCAGCCATGTGCTGAGATTATCATTTGCCCAGGTTACCTTGCTTGTTCAATTACATTGGCCCACAGGAATGTTAGAAGCTATCAATCAATCCACACAACAATATGATAAAACGTTTTCCTACATTCCAGTCTGTAATGAGCCCTAATGCCATTTTAAAAGAGATAAAATAAGTCAAATTAAAATATAAAGTAGCTATGTTAGTTAACACATTACAAAGTCCATGTCATGTGCCCCTTACATCCCACCCAATTAGGCAGGACTGCTGAGAAATTTTGACTGATAGGGTCCAGGAAGAGACCCTTCTCTGCTTTTGCCCCAACCCATTCTATCCCTTGAGGTAAGTCTGGCCCCTACCTTTCTTGTATTCCAGAATAGCATTAAAATTTGGGTCTTCTAATTGCCATAGGGGCCGAAAAGTAATATGCAACTCTGGGGGTAATTCGTGGCTTAATTTTATTTTTTGTATGGATTTTATGGATTTTTTAAAATCTGTAAACCACCCACAGTCACTTCATTAGTGAGTAGTGAGATGGGCGATATATACATTTGATTCATAAAGAAATAAATTCCTGAATGTCATGGACATTTTGGAGTTGCATATTCAAAAATTGTAATGGTACAAGTTACCAAGAGAAATTGACAGAGCTCCTTTGAGCAACAGGAAGTGTCTTTTTGATTGCACCAGACAACCCTGGATCAAAACCACCTACTTAAAAATAAATAATTTAATTTATTCTTTCATTTATTTTTTTGTACCTTGTTTTTTGTTCGGAGTTTTAATAATGAAGTAGTAGTATGCATTTAAATGGATATATTTACAAATCAGAAATAGAATAGAATTGACAGGATCATTACAGAAAAAAATGTTAGCAGCTCTATGTTTACGAATTTGCTAAAACTGCTTAAATATGAAAGGAGATATAATGATCAAATATACTGAGGGAACAGGAAACTCAATTCTGTCTTTTGTCAAATTAAACAGAAAAAAAGAAAACTGCTGCTAAATTATATCTACAGCGATGCAAATATAGCATAATGGTGTTTAGACCCTGGCACTTTGCCTTATATAGGACAGTCTTTGTGAGCTTGAAAACAAAAAGAGAATTCTTATTAGTTCTGAAGCCACAATGCCCTAATGTCATGCAATAGCTAGCCCTTTCCTTCTTCTGTGATAGTTATTTTCAAAAGCAAATAATCAGAAGGAAAAAGGCTGAAAATGGAGAACTGTTAACTCATACATTTTATTAAGATAGATTCTGCTACACTTTTTGGTAAGAAATTAAGTTCAAAGTCCTCTCTGATTAGATAGGAGTTGAATGTTAGGCCTAATCCATGTATACAGCAGAAAGAAATGGTGATAAAGCAGAAAGCATATTAAAGAAGCAGAATGGCTTATTTCCTTTCAAACTTTGAAAGGAGAAATTATTTTTAACACTCCTGTTAGAATCAGAAAAAGACAAGCTTTTCAAGTCAGGAAACTGAGTCCCTTTGTCTAAGATCTAAGAGGCTTGTTTTGTAGAATAAATTTATTGTGGGATATTTTTGCAATTCATACACATCTGTTTATTTACTTTATTTACTTGCCTTTCTTCTAAATTTCTGCTGATTCTGCTAGAGAATCTCATAATTAACCCACACAAACCTGTCAACCATGGGAAATTTTAAATAGGCACATGTAATAAATCATGCTCCCCAATAAATATGGTACTGGGAAAGACTACCAATGTCTACTGACTCTGACAAGTCAATTTAATTTATGGAAACAAGACTCAGCTTTCCTCCCACAAGAATAAATTAAATCTATATTGGTAATTTCACAACAGCAGAGTGCAAAGATTTGTGTATGAGCAAAAGGATAATGCCTCTTAGTATGCAAATTGGAGAATATTATTGCTCTGAAAAAGTGATTACACATCAATCTGTAGAATTCACAAGTTGCTTTCCTGGATCAGGCTTCCAATAACTCTTTCAGGATCCACTGCCTGAAGAATCTCCTTCCAGAACACGCAGACCCAATCCTTTGCTTAGCAAAATGCAGAATAAACTCTATAAAAGCTGAAAAGCTGAACAGGAATTGTGGGAGGATGTCAGGCAATCACACCCTTGCTCCTTTCACCTCCATTTCTAATAAGGTTTGGTTTTCTGGTTTCACAAACTTTGTAGGCTTAGGACAAACAGGAATGGCGTGATGGGGCTGATTTGTTCCTTATATACTGTGCTTCCTCTACTTGGTCTTGCCCCAGTTGTATCATAGGAAGATGACCACATTCCACTAGCCTGAATTCCAGTTTTGTGTTGAGAGTTACTCATGAATGCCAAAGAGCATGTTTTCAAAAGCAGGCAACCTTCCTCCCATGAACCATACCGCAATCTTGGATCTTGTGTGGTTTCGCCATAAATTAAATAAAAATACCTGGCTGAATCCTTAGTCCCGAATCAGTAAGTATCCCAGTGCAAACTGTTTTACAGCTGATTGCAAAATTAATTAGGAAAGTGATAAGTTCATTAAAACAACCATCTTTCCCTCAGCTAATATATCTCCCTTTTGATCCAGCCATTATATCAGTGTTTCTGAATCTTGGTAGATGAATTTTAAGAAGTATAGACTTCAACTCCCAGAATACTACTTGGGAAGGTGAAGTCCGCATCTCTTAAAAGGTTGAGAAATACTGAATTATACAATATGCTTCATTCTTGTTAAATTTTGTAGGAGGAAAGGGAGGAGGAAGAGGAGGAAGAAGAGTTGAGTGGAAACTTCTGGAAGCCAAGAAAACGGGTAGCAGAAGAGCTGTGCCAAAGAGATAAGGAGGGCCAAGTGGGGAAAAAAGCTGGGATGGAGGCCTTATGTACTTTCTGATCAACGTTTTAGAAACCAGCCTTGCCTTCTTGCTTCTCTCCCAGGGACAACAGGTGAAGTTAGATTCGTCGCGAAGGTTGGAGAAGATGAAGGTTTCTCCCTAAATCCTTACGCCACGTCAGGGCGAATTTGGAGGGGAGGAAAGGTTTTCCGTGAATCTGAGAAATGCAAGTGGGAAGGGAAGAAGGGGGCTTCCTCAAAAGCCAACCTGGGGGCAAAGCGAGCGCGCTCACTCACCGCCGGCACAGCTCCGGTTCACCCACAGCGGCTCCGGGAGCTCCATGTGCGCTTTCGCAGGCGAGAAGATCAGCACATTCCTAGAAGGCAGCCGCGCAGGAGATGCGGCAGGGGGAATCTGGAGATGGGACGAAATGCGCGCCTGGTGCCCCCGCCGGTTCGCTTCGGTTCGCCGCCGCCTCTCTCTTTCGCTGTTGGTTCTCTTCGGCCGTCAGCTTCGGAAAGAAGAACGGCCTTCTCTCCCCTCTCTTCTCCTCGCCCCGCCCAAGCCTAACCTGCGCGGAGCTTGAAAATTGCCCCCTGGCAAAAAGTGGAGTCGCACCTGCCCCAGCTGGTTACGCCACGCCGCGCCCCTCCTTCCTCTCCTCTTGCTTGCTGCCTCCTCGCGCGTGCGCTCCGTCACAAACGTCTCGTACTGGACCTACGGTATGAGCTCGAGGGGCTGAGGAGGGGAACCGCGGCAACCAGGAGCTCTCGCAGGCACTCCGTGCGTGACTCTCCGCGCGAGGCTAGCGCCCCCGTGCCCTTTTTTGAGCATAAATTCGGGCCCCTAATCCTATTTTCAAAGGTGGCAAACCCATCCGTTTTTCCACTGTTTTTTTTTTTCCTTCTTCTTAAATTTTGCTTTTGGCATTGCACTCTTCCTTGTTTGGGCAAGATATGATTTGTTGAGTGTGAGCATGCCCCACGCTTATTTCGCTGATGGTGTTATCTAGTCAGGTAATAAAGCGTCTGCAAGCTAATAACCAAGCTCAGAGAGCACCACGGACTCCACAGTTCAACCATGAGCTACATACATTATTTTCTACTGGATTTAGTATAATCTTGTTCTAAGTGATTCAGAACCTCATAGTCTCCAGATATTGGACCGGGATATCAGCAGTATCGCCAATCTTACCTGGAATAGCAATGCAAAGCTAGGGTATCAATTAGCGTACTGATAATATCAAACCCCAAAGTGCAAGGTGACTACTTCAATGGTATCGTGGATTGTTAAATGGGATGGGGGAAGAGGACCGATTCTTATAGTACTGCGCAAAGAAATAGGCACGGAGCCAATCTGCCCTCCCCACCGACTACCTAGTGGGACTGACCACTGAGGGAAGAGCAGAATCATTGCAACACTGCCTGCAATCTCCAGACCCTGCAAGTAATTCAGAAAGATACCATTGTTGATGGTAATGAAAGCTGCTGAGAGATCTAAAATGGTCAGAATGAGCTTATTTTCCCCAGTTAAGTCTTGGCCAACATTGTTTACTAATCCAGCCATTGTTGTCAGAATGTCCAAACCTGAACACTCATTTGCCCTCTCAAGAGAGCTGTGTAGTTGAGTGTTCACCACTATCTCAGCAACCTCCCCCAAAAGAGAAGGTTGGCAGTAATTGTTTAACACCCTTGGATTCAGGAAAAACTTTAAGATCTCCTTCAAGGTCACTAGAAGGTTCCCTCATGAACTGAGATGTAGCAATCTGTCATCCTTTTGTGGTAGGCCAGTCAAGAAACAGACATCTCAGAAATTTCAGGAGTGTTGAATGGTAGAATAAGAGAATCCTGAACACTCTTCCTTTTTCTCAAGATTCTTTAATTATTTTTCAAAGTCTTCCTTAAATGCCACATTCCTTCCTTTCACACTCACAAGGACAGCTCTTCATTCCTTCACACAATCTACCAGAAACAGGAAACTCCAGCTGCATGAAGAAGTCAGGAGAGGTGAAGGTCCAGCATGCAATTGGTAGAGGATTTCCTAGACAGCATCCTATCCAATTTGCAGACGATCACAAGTCAAAATGAACCCCAACCAAGCAAGATTATGCCCTTGAACCCTGCTTACATGAAGTCAAGATTTAAACAATCTGAGTTACTTCACCAGCAAAACTGTTGCAGCAATTCAACAGTATCTGGGCAGAAGATCTTAGTGCTGGATCTTCCATTACAGGGAAATGGCTGCCTAAAATATACATGCTAGGTGACAATCTACCAACCCAATAAGATGCTTTCCCTCTTTTATTGCCATGGAATATAACATAGTCATGTACCATGGTTAGTTGAGTTCACTTCTTGTCTTTCTCCACCAGCAATGTATGAACTGCCTCTACCAATTCATCCTCCAGAGACATGGAAGACATGTTCCAAACCAATAAACCAGGTCCTCAATAGATTCATCTACTAGATTGTCAGGAAAATCCCCAAGCATCTACCAGAAAACATCCAGAGCTACCTGGGGAGTAGAGAGGCAATTTGAATAAGCCCAACCCTACAGAGGTCAAGATGGCAGTTACATTTGAACCAAAATTGATCTGATCATGGTAAAAGGTTGATGGTGATACCCTCCACATTCATATTATATAATAACTGCTTCAAAGCAAAGGCACAGTCTAAGGTTTGTCAGACCCAAGATCATCTGAGATACCTTCGAGTTTACCATAGGGGTCAGGACATCTAGAGTCAAACTGGATCTGTCAGTCATCAAATGGATGCTGAAGCTCTCCAATATAAACAGGTAGGGATTTTCCACCATCAGTCCAACAATCAGGGCAGAAATCTAGGAACTGACCACATGTTTTCTGAATAGTTTTTATCCCAGAGCTATAATTGCACTTAATAATGAACTAAAGGGCCACCATCAGTGAACTGTTGGATAGTATTACTTGGTCGGTTGGGTGGATGTTTGGGCGGTTTTAGGGATGGGGAATTGTGGTGGGTGGGAGTGTGGGGATTATGTGTGTGGGACCTGGTCTTTGGGTGTCACGTAAATTTTGTTGTATGTGTGTACTGTGTATACACATACAATGACAAAGTTTATTATTATTATTTATTCTACTAGACAGCAGAATGACTGGTAGAACCATTGGGCTCCTAGCTTGTTTTTATAGACCAAACTAACCCACGGCATTCAGTTCTACCATGAACAGCGACCATGGTCATAGGTAAGATCTCCCAACCCTATCTCCCTTCTCCTGGCCTTAAAGCTGATAGATGATCTGAAACCAAGCTGAACAGATTTCAAATAGATCAATTTTGCTACCCTCATTCAGCTAGATCAGGCATGTCAAACTCGCAACGTCACATGATGTTGCATGACGTATCGCGACTTTTTTCTCATTGCTGGCAATGGGGTGGGCGCGGTTTCGGCATGATGCATCCGGCCCACAGGCCAGCAGTTTAACATGCCTGAGCTAGTTCTTTGCAATATTTGTCAGATCCTTGTACAATTAAGTCCTCAATGTATGACCACAATTGAGTCTAAAATTTATGTTGCTAAGCGAGACATTTGTTACGTGACTTTTCCCTTATTTTACAAACTTTTTTGCCACGATTATTAAATGAACCATTGTGGCTGTTCAGTTAGTAACACAGTTGTTAAGTGAATCTGGTTTCCCCATTGACTTTGATTGTCAGAAGATCATAAAAAGTGATCACATAATCCTGGGACACTACAACTGTCATAAATATGAGTTAACTGCCAACTATCTGAATTTTGATTACATGGTCATGGGGATGCTTCAACGATTGCAAGTATGAAAAATGGTCAGAAGTCACTTTTTTTAGTGGCATTGTAACTTCGAACGGTCACTAAATGAATTGTTATAAATCGAGGACTACTTGTACTTGCCCATCATTAGACTGTGAATGGAGAAGGTCTTATTGCAGGGCAGATCTAGCATTTTAGATGGTTTTGTTATTATGCCAATTTATTTAGGTGGATGAATATTTCTTTTAACTGTGGATCTTGCTGTTGTTTAGCATTCTTAATAGAAATCTGGCATACGGGAGCAACAGACAAGACATATGAATAAACATCATTTTCAGCTAGAATCATACATTTGGATAAATGTCATTTTATATAGTACAGTGAGCTCTATGGTATTACCTGATAGTATAGAGAAAAAGATGTTCAGCAGTGGCTGAGCTAAGATATTGTGGCAAGGTGCAATAATTTATCACTCTGAGAATGGTGACTGGACTAGTTGAGTTTTATTGCTTCAGGCTCTCCTCAGTCATTATTATGGCTTGCAAGGAGATTTAGCAACGACCTGACACATTTGTTCAACACTGAGATCCCTTTGCTAGCTTTAATCCTCCTTCAATGTCTCCAACAAATCTTTTTATAATTCATATTGAAACATATACATTTCACGGACACAGCCAGAATAGTTTTGTGCCAAATATATAGGTGGAACTATTTGGTTACATTGGGATACTCCCAAAAGATGAATATTTTTTGTTATGTCCCGAGCCTTTGCAAACGGCTCGGGCGTTTGCAGGCAGTCCCGGGCAGGTGCAAAGCTGCCCGGGACCAGACAGGCTGTCGCCAGCGCCGTGCGCATGCGCGGGTGCTGGCGCGGGAAAAGTAACCCATTTACCCGGGAGTTGCCTATATAAGAGGCTGCGAGGCGTTTGGGCGAGGCTGAAGCCATCTTCCTGTAAGCTGAACGCTGAATAAATGAAACTGAGAACTCCAGCTGCTTCTCGTGTCTGTTTTCCCGCCACGGACTCAACACTGGCGACGAGGATGGGATGCCTTGCACTACCTGGAAAGGAAGAAGTGTAAGCTTACCCAAGGAGTCCTGAGCGGCGGAAGAGGAACGGCGTCGACTCGGCAGCTGCCCGCCATTCCGGTGCGCATTCGGGGGTAGGCTGGCTGATAGACCCGTCTCCTGAAGATCCGAAGATGGCGAAAATCGGAAGGCTTTCAGAATTCGACGTCTCACATCCAGAGCGGTGGGAGTCCTACATATCCAGAATGGAGAACTACTTCAAGGCAAACCAAGTGAGGGAAGATAGCTTGAAGGCGGCCACCCTGCTTTGCGTTTGCGGCCAAGACACCTTCGAAATCGCAGAAAACCTTGCAGCACCTGTCCCAGTAGAGTCTGTAAGCTACGCAGACCTGAAGAAGCTGCTGAAGGAGCATTTCCATCCCAAGGTGTCCGTTATCTCATGGCGCCACACCTTCGAACAGAGGGATCAACGGTCCGGTGAGTCAGCCAAGGAATACATCGCCGCGTTACGGAAGGCCGCCAAGTCCTGCGAGTTCAAGGACCTCGAGGAACGACTGAGGGACCGATTCGTGTGCGGGTTAAGGCATCGAGAGCTACAACAGAGACTTTTCGCTAAGGAAGAATTATCCTTCCAAGACGCCTTAAGGGAAGTCACCGCAGAAGAAGCAGCAGGCGGCGCCGTCAAGAACATGTGGCCGATCAGAAGCAGTGCAGAGGGTGCGTCCGTGCACCAGGAAGACGTCCGACGAAACTCCGAGGAGGATCCGGACGAAGAAGTCGACCGTCTACACCCCGCGAAGGAAGAGAACCAGAAGGGAAGCTCTTCGGCTCCGCTCAAGTGCATCGGCTGTGGAGGTCGCCACAGGAGAACCGACTGCAAGTTCCGCTCCGCTACCTGCCGGGCATGCGGCAAACAAGGGCACATTGCAGCTGTGT